TCGTTTTGTAGAGTTGAGGAGACGATACTGCTGTCGTTTTGCACTGAAGTGGGGTATCACTCAAGACGATTTGAATCGTGAGGACTTGAACTCTTATAATTTGAAGAGTTTGATTCACCAAAAGTTGTTCGGTCAGAAAGAAAGTTATTTGGAGTATCGTCGTTTATATATTGCGTCACTTTGTAGAGCAGAGAAGATTTTGAGAATGGATCATGTTGAATATGTTGCTGCTCTTCCCACTGATTACAAGGATCTGACCATGTTCTCATCACTTATGTTGAAACGTAAATTGGGCAAAGAAGGATACAAACAATTTGTGAAGAATTCAGAAGAGATGGGTCATTATGACAATGCAAAAGAAATGGAAATGTTTTATAATGATAAATCAACTGAACGTAGTAAGGTTGTGGATGATGTGCCCACTTTAACGGCTGAAAACTTGGATGACTATACGAAAGGATAATGTGAATGAATGATAATGTTGATTGCAGTAGTTGAAATAAATTATTTGTGGTTTGTTGGAGAAACTGTTGAATGGTGAATGTTGCTTCAAATGAATATGCCTATCTTCTATCACCTTGTGAAGCCAAAGGAAAACTAGACCTAAAAGAGGAGGAAGAAAGTAGAGTCTCACTTTCGTTAAAACTAAGAAAGTTGGTAGAGTTTATTCGACAGAGTGACCATGTTGTAGTACACACTGGAGCCGGAGTTTCCACCAAGGCAGGAATCGCAGATTTCCGAGGTCCTCGGGGGTTATGGACGTTGGAAAGGAAAAAATTCCTTCAGAAACTTGTACAAGTTTTCGAGATGCCTTGCCAACCATTACTCACTTTGGTATTGCTCAGTTGTGTAAGGAAAAGCTAGTCCGGTTTGTTGTCACGCAGAATGTGGACGGACTTCACAGAAAGTCAGGTGTACCTGAACATCTTTTAGCAGAGATTCATGGCTGTCTATTTGTCGGATATTGTACAAAGTGTGAAAGGAAACAAGTACTGGACAAACCAACTCATTCTGTCGGGTTTAGGGATATCCAAATACCTTGTTCTCGTTGTTCCTATTCGTTGTGTGACTTTGTTCTTGATTGGTATGATGAGCTTCCAAAGGTCGATCTGGAAAAGGCAATTTTTCATTCTAGGAAAGCGGACTTGCATATAGTTATTGGGTCAAGTCTTCAGATGCTTCCTTCTAAAAATTTCTGTTTGATGTCAGTCAAAACTGGAGCACGACTGGTTATTTTGAATCTTTCCGAAACAAGTCATGATTCTAAGGCCACAATGATATTAAGAGGAGATTCTGATAGATGTATTTCTGCCATTTTATTCTTGTTACAACTGCCAGTTGCATTGTTTGTTCCAAAGCAAGCAGTACAAGTCAATGCTACAGTGAATGACAAAGACAAGAGTGAAATGGAAACTTGTGATTGGCAGCTTAAGGTGGATTGTAATACATTTCCTCGCCATCCTTGTCGCATTCAACCGAAACAAGTCGAAACTCATTCGCTATATTCTTTTATGGACTGGACATGGAACGAGGAAAATGGGTTGCTAACTATATGGATTTCATCGATAGTTGTTCCTACAGTTTCCATAACTTTTTGTATATTCTTTCCTAATCTTCCCTGTTGTTGTTTTACAGTACAACATAGCTTTTCAAAAAATGCTTTCAAAAATTATGGTTCCTCTGAATGGTTTCAACTATCATCCATTTCTTCAGTGACGGATGTAGTAGAAGGTTTCCATCTGGCTTATGAGACTTTGGATCAGAAGATCATCCAACAAAATGTATATGCCAGTTCAGAGAACTTTTTCTACAAGAGCAGTACACGAAAGAGATATCAAGTTTGTTTACTATGTGAAAAGATAGTTTATTGCACATCTAAAAAACGTCACATGATGGAACAACATCGTGCAAGGAGGCATAAAAAGTAAAAAAGAAATCTTTATCTAAAACCACACAAAAATCATGCAACACAATACAACAAACAAGTTTGCTGCTAAGAAACCCTAAGCAACTCTAAGAAGACCCGTCAGCCTTTGACTTTCCTTCCATCTTCTTTCTCTTCTTCCGCAATCTTTTCTTTTGTGAAGGAGTCAACTTTTGTTGAGAATTGGGAGTTGTTTGATTCCCACTGGCTGCAGTTTGTTGCGCATTTTGCGAAACATTGTTCTGTTTCTTTTGATTGGCTTGCTGAGGAGTCATTTGTGGCGTATTGGTCTTCTTATTCATTGTTTGCTTTGCTTCGTTTCCAGTTGGTTCATTTCTTTTCTGTCCAACTTTCGCTCTCTGATTAGTTGCCTTTGGTTGAAGTTCTTCTTCATCTGACTCTTCTTCCTCATCTTCTTCGGAATCTTCTCCCAAGTCAAAGTCGTCAGAGAGGTCTTCTTCCATAAAAATATCGTCTTCATCCGATTCCTCTTCTTCCTTGTTTCCCTGTTTCTTCTGAGGCAATGAGGGAGTTTGCTTCGCACCCTTCAATACGTTGCCCTGTTTCTGAACTTTATCTTCTTCTTTCTTCACTGGAATCTTTTGTTCCTCCTCGTTATCTTCTTCGCTATCTTCTTCTTCTTCTTCTTCAAAATCCTCATCACTTGAACCTTCATAACCACCAAACGAGTCTTCTACCGTCATATAACCAGTAAGATAAACCGTATTGGATTTTGAATTATTTGTAAAAGTTACATCGGTCGAATCTGAAAGTATCACGTTCAAAGGTATACTTTCCATAACACCGGGTAGCAACACACAAAGGGTGCAGTTAGTAACCTTTTTTGCATCTCCCTCAGGCATTTCCAACGTTTCATTTTTGACTTGCATGGAAATAGGAGCTCTGTCTTTTTCTACCAATTTGGTACCAAATGAAGCCATGGTGAGGTGAAGTACGTGATCGGGGTTCACGATAAAGGTTTCCTTCTTCTGAGGGGCCAGTTCAAGAGCTGAAGAAGAATGGTTAGTGGGTAAAAGATAGGGTTCCCTGAATACGTACCCCAAAAGTATGCTTCTGAAGTTTCTGCCATATAACCGTTGTAAGGGTCCATTTCTTTTCAACAATCAGAGTTGCCGCCGGTGCAACACAAAAAATCGATAAAACAAATTCCGATCCACGGCTCTCAATGGATATTCAAAGAGTTTTGAAAGGCTTTGACACGGTGTGAAATCACTATATGGAAACTTGATAGTATTTTGATCGGTTTTTTGGTACTATTTGGTATATATTGATTGTGACAACATTATATTGGAAATGAGAGATGTCTATAAGAAGCATCAAGTAATAAGACAGTTGCTATACAATTTCTCATTGTGATAAAATCATAATGGGCAGGAAAGTGACTAGGCGCCGTAGAAAGGCTTATCTAGAGTCTCTGATTCATAACGAAAAACTGCAGTTTGAAAAGCAAAAAGAAAAAAAACAATACAAGGAGGATAAAGTTTTGATACTGGATAAACTTTCTTCCGTAGTAAGTGTGGAACAGAAAGTCGAGCTTTCTTCTCCAAGTTAACAGTTATTTTAGCAACTTGATAGTCATGAGAGTACATCAAGTGACAACATTGTATTGCAACACCTGGAAACTGAAAAAGGGGGTGAGAACAAGATAAAAGCTTCCTCAAAACCAATAACAAAAAGACAAAGAACGAAAGATCGGCGCCGTAGACAAAAGATTAGAAACAGAATGCAACAAGCAGTTGCTATGTTTAGCAGTTAAAGTAAGAAAGAACTGTACATAAGTAAGTTACACTATGATAACTCGATCAATGTCGAGGTCGCAAAAGGTTCCTTCGCCACTCTCGATACGGCGTATAAGTTGGAGAGACTTGATTTTCTTGTTCTTCCAAAGTTTCAACGTCTTGTTCAATATTCTCATGTTGAGGTTTTACGAGTTTCAAGTATAAACCAGACTTGTCACTGGACCAACCTCCGAAGAACCTTTCCAACAAAACTACAGCTGCTTCAGAGTCAATTAATTCCTTTGAGTTTACTAAGCTGATCCCTCGTTCAGCTAATCTTTCGTTGGCAACAATGCTTGTATACTTTTCATCACATAAATACACTTCTTGCTTTGAAAAGCGATTGGCGACTAGTTGAGCAAAGTTCATTGCTTTTTGTGTTTGACCACTTGAACACTCCACTACGTATACAAGTTTGAAAACTTCGAATAGAAAACTCGAAATAAACTAACCTCTTGCACTTAAAGGAAGGCCAACCACAATTATTTCTGCACGCTCGGAAGATACTATTTCACTCAGCTTCTCTAAAACCAAATCAGTGTTGTTTTCGTGTTTGATACAAGTCAACGGTCGAGGAGAAAACCCAACAGAAACAGCAACTCCAACACGACTCATACCGTAATCAACTCCTACAGCTTTTCGGCCAGTGAAAGAAGCAAAAACCATACTAGTCTCGATACCAACAGAAGGACAGACTCGGAATAGGGTGGTTGCCTTTCGGGTAACGTTGGCTACTTGTCCATATTTGCTTTTTGAAAGTCTATCTTTCTTAAAATAAACATGACGTTGAGGGAAAAGTTCACATAAGAAAGACAACTGAATCATTCGAAAGCAAATTCTAAGGAAAATGGTTCAAAAGACTATTGTGGGCTTCATAAATTTCGATGATCGTATATTGTAGTCAAAATGTTGCAGAGTCGTTGCTCTTCTGATATAGTGTTGACATAGGAATCAGTTGAAATGGAGAACTAAATCAGTTATATTGAAAGATAAAAACTGATTCTTTTGTGTATCCGATAAGAGAGTTTGTAGGGCATACTATCTTTTAAAAAGCATTTGAAAGACAAAACGGTTTCGTCACTTCAAGCAATGTACAAAGGAACGAGTGGAGACTTGTGACATAAGCATGCATACTCTATTTGTTCAGTTTAGTTTTTTAGCAATCACACTGACACAGAGTGTCAATGCTTCGCGATATTCTAGCAAGATGGACATGAAATACTTTTAAAAGGTAATATTCCTTGAATTTAATATTTAGCTGTTGGAGAAGATGATGCTCGTTTGGACGCGACAGTTTAATAACTGAAATGTCACTTGGGGGGAACTTTGGAAAACCGTTATTTGGTTCACAGACTACTAGTGCTGCTTCTTTTGGAAGTGCAACTCCAACTTTTGGAGGTCCTAGCCCATTTGCTACTTCTCAGAGCGCTCCTTCGTTCGGTTCGAGTCCCAACGTTTTCCAGGGTGGTTCTGTCTTCGGTGGTGGCGGTACTCCAAGTAGTGTGACGCCGCAAGCAGGATTTGGAGTACCACCTTCAGGAGCAGCTCCCTCTTCAGTTCCTCCATCACCGTTTGGACAGGCACAGCCCGCCTTTGGCAACGCAGTTACGAATGTCAATCCCGGACAACCTGCTTTTAGTCAACATACCCCTTCGTTTTTCGGATCTGGATCGAATTTTGGTAATTCTCAAGCTGTCTTTGCTTCATCGACTCCTTTCCCAGCAAGTAGTTTTAATCAACCCTCTTTTGCAGGAGGCGCCAACTCCTTGGGAGGCTTCGGTTCTGTAGGCTTAGGTACACAAACAACTCAAAGTGTACCGACATTCGGTAACAGTTCTGTTGCATTCGGAGCAAAGAGTGTTCAGAGCACTATTCCGCTCTCAACTAGCGCTTTTGGCAACACCCTTCCTAACGTCTCTACGAGTCTCGGTCAGGGTTCCGCACAAGGAAATACTTTGAAAGGGACAGGCAACCCTAAGTTTCAACCTATACAAGAATATGATGGTGGTGGAGTGAACGTAAAGTATATGTCTATTTCAAGAATGCCAGATTATCAAGATAAATCCTTTGAAGAACTGCGCTACGAAGATTATCTATTGGGAAAAAAGAATAGTTCTTCTCTTTCAACATTTCAACCTGTTGGAAGTGGTTTTGGTACATCTTCTATCAATACAGGGTTTGGAGGACCTTCGAGTAGTCTCTTTGCTTCCTCGCCTGCCATATCAACTCCAGGCTTTGGCGCATCTACCAGTTCGCTCTTCGGCAATACTTCTACAGCGTTTGGTTCTTCGCAACCATCCTCAGTCCCAGGGTTTGGGTTGGGTTCGTCTCCTTTCGGTCAGACGTCAACAGGATTTGGCTCAAGTTCTTCAGTCTTTGGTGTTTCCACTCCGGTTCCAGCTTTTGGCTCACAAAGCGGTGCTCCCTTTCAGGCAGCGACAACTTTTGGATCAAGCTCTTCTTCATCGAGTTTATTTAGCAGTAATTCCAGTCAAAAGCCTTTTTCTGGATTTGGTACATCTATGCCAAACCAACAGCTCGGTAGTTTTGGCTCTACTTCTATCTTTGGAAATACATCGACTGCACCCGCATTTGGAGGCTCATTTGGAAATACAAGTGCGCCTAGTCAACCTACACTTAATCTTGGCTCTTTTGGTTCCAGTTTTGGTGGTGGAAACAGGTTTGGCTCTGCTTCTAGTAGCTCAGCTTCTTTTGGTTCTTCAACTTTTGCTTCTTCTAGTCCATTTGCCAACTCATTTGCGTTTGGAGCGGATTCATCGAAGCAAAGTGGTTCATTGTTCGGTGGAGGATTTGCGACATCTCCGCAAACAACCTCAGCATTATTTGGAAGTTTACCAGCAGCTTCTAGCGGTACATCTCTTTTCGGCTCATTTTCTTCAAGTAATCCAACAACCAATATTCTATCTCCAATGGGACAGCAGTCGAACACTGGAGGATTCGCAGCACCTGCTTTGGGTATTAGTGGTGTTGGAAACTCTTTTTCAGGACTACAAAGTTCCAGTTCAGGGCTCTTTGGTTCAACACCAACTTTTTCCGCACCTTTCCAACAAAGTTCCTCATTTTCTATGGGAAGTGCTCCTTTATTTGGAACTCAAAACTCAAGCATTTTACCGAATAATCTACAGGGGCAACAGAACTGGTCATTTGCAACTTCTCAAAGTGTTGCTTTCAATGATATGAATACCCCATATGGAAAGAGTCCTATCTTTGAAGCAGCCTCTTTGTCACTTGGCAAGTCTTCAGGCACGAACAACTCGCTTGAAAGCACTAACTCTTCAACCAGCCTGTCTTTTTCAAATGGCAGTTCCATTGCAAGGCCTTCTGCTCGCTCATTTGCTCGTATTCATGCTAGAAGTCTACGTTCATCGTTGTCTTTGAGTTCTCCTTTATTTGAAACAAAAAAACCAGTATCTGTATTTAGTCCGGAACACTTCACCTTGGTAGAAGCAGATGGCAGTAGTCCTTTGTTAAAGTCGCCAGCCATTGGAAGATCGGATATGAAACGGTTAATTATTACCCCAAGATCAGATGTCAAAGGAGACATTTCAAATGGAGAGTGGAGAAATTTTGCTAGTGGCTGGAAGTCGCCTCCTGAAAGGAAGCTTTCGTTTCCTTCGTCATCGCCTACGGTACAGTCTTCAGAGGAACTTGAGAAAACAAATGGATTGATTTCCTCTCCAACAGAACGTAAAACCACAGATTTGCTAGAACAGAGTCATGTTGCCAAACCTACTCCATTGCGATCTCCTGGACAGTATTCGGGTAACCTTAGATCTCCTTCAGTGTATTCGTCATATCGAGAATTTTATGAAGAACACTTGTCACCGGAGGCCTCTAGGTTAGAGTCTGTTTCAAAAATGGATGAAAGGAGTAGCGCTCCTATTTTGACAAAACCTACCTATTTTACTTCCCCAAGTATAGAAAAACTTCGCAGGATGGGAGATGAGGATCTTAGTCATGTATTCCACTTTACTGTGGGCCGAAGAGACATAGGAGAAATTCAATGGTATGGCGAAACAGACGTACGCAACTTGGATCTTGACCGCCTGGTTATTATTGAAAACCGTGAAGTGACTGTTTATCCGAATGAATCAGAAAAGCCCGAAGTTGGTATTGGCCTGAATAAACCTGCAAAAGTGAGCCTTCACAAGGTTTGGAAAATGGATAAAAAGACAGGACAACCACTGAAGGACGTTGCCAGTGTTACCAACTTTACTGCGAAGCTGAAGTCTCATTGTGAGAAACAAGGTCTAACATTCTTAGGATATGACGCTACCCAAGGCACGTGGTCTTTTGAAGTCCCTCATTTTAGCAGGTATGGGCTTCCAGATAGCGAAGATGAGTCGAGTGAAGAGGAAGTTGTACTTGAAAGCAGTTTGGGGCACACATCTGCTTCCTTGAACCTTGTATTTGATAAGGAAATCGAACGAATTCATGAAGATGAAGCAGAAGATGAGTTTCCAACTGTGGAACGAATGAACATTAAGGAGTCAGTGGACGAAAAAGTCGGCACTTCTAAAGAGAGTCAGATGGATTTGAACACGTTTATTCACTCAAAAGATGGCAAGAAATGGACTTCTTCTAGAATGCTTTTATCATCGAGAAAAAATCCTTTCAAGTCGAATATATTTTCGGCAGAATTAGGTAAAACACCAGAACAGCAGTTTTTTTCCTCAAATAGTAAGATGGAAGAGAGCCAACCCAATAAGCAACATTTTGACTTGCGAAATGTGATACAAAAGTCTCCATCTTCTATGAAAACTTCCCCAGAGCAAGTGCCTGGTTGGTTGAATGCGGAGTCATTTAAAGATGAAATAGAAGAACCCATGCAAAAGGGCTCAACTAAGAATCGCAAATTTACTCGACGGTTTTTAGAGTTGTGTTTTCGAGTGTCTTTGAACAATTCGTTCCTTTACACAGAAACAGAAATGAAAGGGAAGCCACTTTCATTTTTGAGTCGTTCTTTTAGAGCCAGTGTAGGCCCAGGCTTTCAAGTCGCTTTTCCAATTCCAAGTTTTATGGAATCTAATCGACCCTTTATTTCACCTGTTTTTATTCATGAGCAAGCTGAAGAGTGGGAACATTCATTTATTCAAAAGACCCTTCGGATTCATTTCTCTTCTTGGAAACTGAGCTTTGATACCGAAGAAATGAACGATTCCTTTGTGTACAGACGTCCCAGTTTTCGATTTCCCTTTAGGCATCGTGAGGTTGTCATGAAAACACTGCAACATCTTATTTTAGAAGCAGGTTTTAGTGGTAATCAACATTTTGAGCTTGTCCTTCGACTTTTGCTTGTTCTCTTTGTCCAAAATATTGACCTCGACCAGGATACTAGAACATCACATGATATTGAGTTGCTTTTATTTAGGCGTCATCTGTCAGGTTGGTTGCAGAATTTTGCTTGTACCTGGTCGCAAGAGGAGAGAAATCCTGCTCAAGATCAATTTCTTTATATTTTTCACTTGTTAACTAGAGGTGAGATTGAACAAGCTGTGAAGTTTTGTAGTGAGACGAAGAATTTCCGATTGGCATGTATGGTTGCTAAGGGTATGCAGTTGCAAGATGAAGGCTATCGATCGAGTTGTTTGAAGATTCATCGTTTCTATTGTGGACACGTACCGAAGGATTTGGATCGTATTTATGCTTTACTAAGTGGGGATATTTTACATGCTACCGAGAATCTTTCGTTATCTTGGTATAGGACTTTTGGGTTGCATTTCTGGTATGGCTCAGGGGCTTTGGTAACTGATTCGGATGGACTAAAGTGTTCTCTACAATCATATATTGATGAATGGCAAAGTAATGAATTTGTTGCTCCTCCAGTTCCACCTCATATTGTGATAACAGTACCCGAACATGAACAGTTAGAAGCCTCAAAAGGTTTGAAATCAGACAGTCTCATTTACGATGCTTGCTATGTATTGTTATGCATTGCCGCAGATTTGTATCCCGAACATGTGCAATGGATGCACCTAGCCACTCCATTAGCATATGGCGTAGTTTATGATGCCTTGGATGCTCATAAACCTTGGCTAGTTTGTGAGATTCTGTCAAGCATTTGTGCGACATCGTATTTGGAACCCAAGGTTATCATTTCGTTTGCTATTCAACTGGAAATGATGCATTTGTATACTTGGGCATTTTACGTACTGTGGTCTTGTGAAGTCTTTGGAAATAATAACATGTTTTATCTGAAAAATGTATTTATCCACTGGTTTCCTTGGATTATAGTGGAAGAAGTAGAAGGAACGGATGGAAAGCTATCGTCAGATAGATTTTTACGTGAAGAACTTGGTGTGCCCGCTTCTTGGTTTGAAGAAGCGGCATGTATTTATTCTCGATACAACTTTCAATTTATAGAAGAGGTTGATCATCTTTGCGTCTTGCTACATATGGAAGCAGATGAATATCCTCTTTTTAGTTGTGTTCATTTAGCTAATCGAGCGCATCAAGTCGTCTTAGGTCGAGCAGCTCCAAGTGTGTTTGTATTGGACACCAGTAGTGTTCAGTGGAGGAAACTCAAAAAGATACTAAGTGTATTAGGTGCCATAGATAGAGATTATCCAGGCATGATACGAGACTACAAGAATGGTGGTAGTATTCTGGAAGGAATATGTTCCATTATACAAGGATTTCGTTTATCACTTGAAGATTTGGAAAGTTTATTGAAAAATATGGAATTATTTTCATCGCTTGTGAGTAATCTTGGATGTTCGAAACAAGGAGACATGACTTTGGAGCTCTTTATTACTTGTATATTCTCACATGTTTTTCGAGAAACATGGAAACAGCTAATGGAAGATACGGATGACTCCAAGTTTCAAAGACTTGCGAGTTGTTTGGAAACTCTACAGTATTCTTCACATGTTCCTTGGAGCTGCAAACAATTCATTCATAACTTTATCGAAACATATCGTTCCTCCGGCATTTCTTTTACCCGAGAATTGTCGACACGAAGCTATTTTCAATTGTTTGATTTATGGTTTCCACGAAAGTTGGTTGAATAGATTGTCAAGGCAGAAGTATTGGTAGGACTGAAGTGTATATGAAGGAAATGGATAAAAGATTTCTTGTCAAATTCATTCCTTTTGTAGCAAAAAATGGATTGGTATTCACTCTATGTTGTTTGCTTTCAGTTCCTAATCGCTTTTCTTCATCACCAAGTTATCAACAAAGAAACACCTGCACCGAAAGAAAAAGAACGGGTTCAACAGTTTCGTCACTTGCGTACACAAGTTGAAAAGCTAAACTCTCCTAGTACTTTTGTAGAGTATTCCAAGGCTAAAAGACGTTGCCTAGATTTGGAACGGGAACTGGAGTTGTTCCAAGGTATGATTGTATTGGTTATCTCTACGTTTCAGTTTATCGTGTCGGAAAAGTTTCCAGGCTTCAACAAGTGGAAGTATACAAAAAGTGGAAGAATAGGGTTAGTTGGTTCTATCGTGTAAGTCAAATTGCGTGGTTTGTTCAAACTGTACTAAAAGTTTTTTGGTAGATTTCTGTGTTGTTGTTATCTTTGTTGTTGAGTCGTTGGTGGAGTCGAAGTGTATATCTTTCTTGTGGTTGGATATGGCCGCTGGATGGTTGGTTTGTACATAAGGCAGGCGTTTGTGCGGTTCCTAGTTGGATATGGGGAACGGTTTGTGAACGAGCAACGTTTATTTTGTTTTGTTATTTGCTGGGTAGTATAAGACGTATTCGTGAACCAAAGCGTCTCGACGAAAGAAAAGTTGTATAGAATAAAAAGCACAAGTTGATGATCCTTGTGACCCCAAAGAATAGTATTATTAATTGAATATTGTGGGTCTTGAGTTCCATGAACACTTGGAAAGAGAGACTGCGTGCAGGTATCGATAAAATGAGCGAGTCCACTAAAGTATTGAGTGACGAGTTGAGACACAAATTGGAAGAATCATCTGGAAAAGGAGTAGAGTCGGTACAGGTGAGTCCACAGTTGGTACAGCGACTAGAAAGAGCTCTTCAAGAGAAAGAACTCCAGTGTGAGGCACTGTTTCAGGCTAAACAGAGTATGGAGTTGAGTATAAGACAGGTAGTGAATATGTTGTTATAGTGGTTAGAGTGTAAAGGAATGAGATTGGGTTTAGATTATCACTGGCGAGAACCAAGCAGATGTATTTTTGCAACTACAAAGCAGTTTGGAAGAAGAGAGACGAACAAACAGACAGTGTGTGGAAGAAAAGGAACGTTTATCACTATGTAAGTTTGTTTTCGTGGATATCTGTGAAAATTTCTGAAGAACAATAGTGTTGCAAGAGCAAAGCCAAGTGGAAAGAGAGTGGAGAGAGAAAGTGGACAACTTGGAAGAACAACTTGCACAGTGGAAGGAAAAGGCAGTTGAGGTTTCCAAGTTGAAGTCAGAAAAGGAGGAAATCATTTCGAACCTTGAAAAAGAAGTAGAAACACTGAAACAAGACCGAGAAGACTTGGACGAGTCCAAACAGCGAATGGAAGCCTTGCAAACGCAATTAAGTCAAGTCAAATCAAAAGCAAAGGAGTTTATTCACTCGAAGCTCTCCGAGATGAGAGCAGAAAACGCTTCGTTGAAGGAAATAATCGCGGCAAAAGAAGAAGAAATAAACAAGTTGAAGCAATCGAATGTTGTTGCTGTGGAGACACCGGAAAATTCTTTGGATAACGAAACGAGTCTACAGAATTTCGCAGCTTCTCAGAGACTCGTTGAAGAATGTAAAAGTGTACTATCGTCTGTAGAGATAGAGTCGGAAGAATATGATTCCTATTTCCAGGGTCTTTCTGAACTTTGTAGGAACTTGTGTTCAACGTTGGATGTTTCTGATAGAAATTGGGTGGAGAGTTCAGAAGCCATGGTTGGTACTCAGGTTGAGAAATTGAAGAGATTGCTTGCTTCCATTGGTGACAGTCGTTTTGAGAATATACACAACAAGCTAATGGAGCTCAAACAAATACTGATACAACTTGAAAGCGAATTGTTTACAAAGGCCAGGTCGAAGCCTAGTTGTGAAGAAATGGAAATACAGACAGAAGATCCCCAGGCAGCACACATAAGTAGAGATATTTCCACATCCCAGGAAGAAAGCCATGTTTCGACAGAAAGACAAGATCAGTTGGAGAAGTTAAGAAAGGATTTGGAAAGTGAGAAAGAACGTGAAGAAGAACTCAAAAGAGCCCTAGAAAAGTTGAAAACGATTGATTCCAAGAGACGAGATAAATTAGCTATTCTTCAGAAGGAAAAGGATGAATTGGACTTGGCCTTACAGAAGCTTACTGAAGAATACAATTCTTTGCAGGAAACCAATTCTTCGTTGGAAAGAAAATGGAAGGAAGCGGAAGAAGAACGCGTTTCCTTAAAGAGTCGATTATTCTGTGATAAGAATAGCAGTATGAGCGGCAACGGTTGTGGGAATCCAACATCAACGGAAGAAACTTGTTCCATCTCCCAAGTTACCGTTGATATTGAGGAAGAACGCGGAGAATGTGTTCGTTTATTGGATGAAATCGATGAAATTGTAAAATATTATCGTAATCATGTGAATACTTGTTCCAATAGTTTAGAAAGTCTGGAATCCCACATTTTGAATGAAATGGAAAGTCATCATAGCATGGAGGACGCATCGGAATCCCAAAGTTTTATTTTACAGTTACAAAACGAGTTAAAAGCTATCCAACAAGTACTTGCAAGTACAAGAGAAGACAAGGAAACTTTAGAGAAGAGTATATCACAGAGGGAGGATGAACTTGAAGCTCTTAAAGAAAACTTTCGTAATGCTATGCAGAATTTTTCCAAAGAGAAGGAAACCTTGGAGAAACGATATGAAGAGCATTGTGAGTCTTATCGAATACAAATCAAGCAAATGGAGGATGAAAATCATTCTTTAAATAGCACAGTGCATCAAGTAAGTGTTTGATTGGAATGATGTATATTTTAACCACCAATATTTTCTAGTTGAAATTGGAGTTGGCTGCTCAAGAAGAAAGCTTATCGAAGAAACAATCTGCTATTGGCAATTTGGAGTCGTCTTTGGAAAGAGAACATCGAACCGTAGAGGATTTGAGAGAACAAATTGCGAGGATCAAAGATGAATTTCTAAAGTATAAGGAAAAGGCAAGAGCAGCACTCGGCCAACGCGATAAAACTATTCGAGATGTAGACAATCTTTTGGAAAAAACGAATGAAGAATATCGCACAGAATTGGATAACCTCAAACTGCAAATAGCACAATTAGAAGAAAGAATTTCGCAACTCGTTGAAGAGAAAGAAACTTTGTTGGAACAAGAACGAATGGAAGCAAAAGAACGAGAGAAGCAGTTAGAAGAAGAATTGTCACATGTGAAGGAAGAGAAATCCAAGAGACTCGAAGAAACCTTTTCAACATTGACTGAAAGAGAATCCAAAATATTGTTCTTGGAAAGCCGATTGGAAGATTCGCATATACAAATTCGTCGCTTGGAAGTGAGCCTTGACCAAGAATCTGGTCGTTTGCAAGAAGAGCGTCAACGATGGGAACAGAAAGTAGAAGAACTCACATGGCAGAATTCGGATTTGCAAAATAAGATACAAAGTCTTCAAAGGGAACTGAGTCGATGGAAAAGCGTTAACAATTCCTCTTCTTCAAATCTTGTAGGCTTATCCAACACTGGAGATCAACATCAAATGAACACGACGACATTCGTTGCAGATTCACGACAATTACAAGACGCAGAGAGTGATTTGAAACTGTATGAGGAACAATTGGAATTTTTAAAAAAGGAGTTGAGAGACTTGAATAACAAGTATCAAGCAGCACAGAAACTAAAGGAGGATATTACATTTGAGTATCTGAGAAACGTATTTTTACGTTTTTTACAAACAGACGATTGGGAAACTTTGTTACCTGTAATATCTCGTATCTTACAATTCACAGATGAGCAAGTAGAAGACATTCGTGAGAAACGGAAACAACTACACTCACAGTTACTAACTGGAATCCGAAGTGCCTTTAAGAAATGAGCCCTTTATGTATTATATGTGTGACAGTCTCATTGTATGATGCCCTTAAAGCTCTTCCCTTTTCTCAAACAATATATATTGACCTAAAGTTAACCAAACAAAGACAATTTGACGTTCATCAATCACTATAAGTTCACCTGGCGTCCACTGTGGCATCAAAGGTACTTTTCCAGCAACTTGTTGAAAACTTGGCTTTTCGGCTTCAGTACCAGTGGCTACTGGAACAAGTATTTGTGCTTCTGCATTAAAACGTTGAATCCCACCCAGATTAGGAATAACCCTTTCCAAACCTAGTCTCAAAAGGTCACTTCCTGGTGCTTCAGGATCCACTAAGGAATCAACAGATATATCACAACGAAAGGCAATTTCTCCCTTGGCAATGCCTTGTTCGGTCTCCGAAGTTTTTACAGCAAAGAGAGTTACATCTTGATAGTGGATATGAATCGTTTCCACAGATTGCTGGGAAGTCTTTCCTAATTAGAGTTTTACAAAGCTTCAGGATTAGTTGGAGTACTGTAACCTACCTGCCCATAAACCTCCCAATCGAAACTGTGGCATCCTAACTTTAAGCCATTTTATTTCTTTCCACACTTGCTGAGCCTCGTCATTGTTTCCTTTGAGCTTTAAAGTTTCGTATTGTTTCCTCTTCCGTTCCAACAAAAACAAGGGATCCTGAGCAGTCACTTGTTCTATAGTCTCTCTTACTTGTGCTACATCTTCTAGTCGCTTTGATTGGACGACTTGTTCCAACTTGCGCTTTTCTCGAAAATACTTAGCTCTTGACTTTTCCAAAGCTGTCACGTCCAACTCTAATTTGGGTTCTGCTTGTTGTTGACAACTCTTCCAACATTTATTCCACTTGTCTGTATATCTCTTTCTTTGTTTACATATGGCACCTTGTTTGTGTGCAATAGGGAAATGAAGTTGTGGAACAACACCCACGAAGGAAAACCAACAACCGTTTGCCATTATCTGAAAATAACAAAAAGTCATTGCTTTCATTTATTACATCGCTTATGGTTATTTCCATGCTTTTCATTCGTGAGTATCCGTGTGTATATATAACCTACCAATAACGACAAGATAAACTCGATAATATTTACGATTGCAGTATTTGCTGTCTAATGTATTCCTAAAAGACAGCACTGATGGGATTGGGCTGTCTAATTTCGTGAATCTTTCATTGTTCCGTTCCTTTTGTACTCTTTTATCAAAATTCCATTTTGGTATGTCTGATAATCATTCTGCAGAAAGTGTTCGAGTAGTGGTTCGTGTTCGACCTCTCATATCTGTTGAACAAGAACAAAGTGTTGTACAAGTGCAAGGAAACAATGTAATATATGTACAAGACCCCGATGCTGCCAAAAAATTCAGTTTTGATAGAATTTTCGACTCGGATACCAAACAAGCAACTGTCTTTGAAGAAATAGCAAAACCTATAGCAAATGATGTGATGCAAGGATATAATGGAACTATATTTGCTTATGGACAGACAGGTTCCGGTAAGACTTTTACTATGCAAGGAAAGGAAGATGGCATTCGTAGCAATGAACCTGCTGCAAAGCAATCCAGAGGTATTATTCCTTTGGTATTGGAATATTTATTTGAAAGAATGGAGCAAGACAAAAGTGGAAAGAATATGGTCAATTATACCGTCAAATGTTCTTATTTGCAAGTTTACAATGAGATGATTACAGACTTGCTCTATTCCGGTACACCGCATCCATTAAATATTAGAGAAGACTCCAGGAGAGGAGTCTACGTAGATGGAATAAGTGAAGAAGTAGTCCAAGGACCACAAGAATGTTATCAATTGCTGATGAAAGGGTTGCATAATAGAGCAGTTGGTGCTACTGCAATGAATCAAGAAAGTTCTCGTTCTCATGCAGTCTTGACTCTGACCATCGAGAGAAATGAGTGCAAAGAAAACAAAGTTTGGACGAAACGAGTATCTAAACTTAATTTAGTAGATTTGGCAGGTTCCGAAAGACAAAAGAAAACAAACACGACAGGAAAATCGTTAAAAGAAGCTGCCAACATAAATAGATCTTTATCAGTCTTAGGTTACGTCATAATGGCGCTAGTTGACGTGGCTGGAGGAAGAGAAAGACATATCAACTATCGAGATTCGAAATTGACATTTCTGTTAAGAGACTCTCTGGGTGGTAATGCAAAGACTTGCATAATAGCAACCATCAGTCCAAGTGAGAAGAATATAAGCGAGACCATATCCACTCTCAAATTTGCACAGCGAGCCAAGTGCGTAAAGAATAGAGCAACCATTCAAGAAGAAACCAGTGGCAATGTTATGCAACTACAAGTGGAAATCAAAAGACTACAGGAATTTGTCAGACAACTGCTTTCTGAAAGAGAACAGCTGGTTAATCATAGCAATCAATCTACTCCTAATGGAAAAGCTCCAGCATTGGTTACGGTAAAGAGACAAGATCTGGCTATTCATAGTCCACCGCTTTCAAATGAAGAATCCAATGAAGGACAACCAGAACCGCAAGATGTTTTGGTTTCTGGTGCAGCTGTAAAAGAATTGCAACAAATGTTGATATTGACGGAACAACGAGGAAGAGAAACCGAAGATACAAAACGTTATTTGGAAACTCAATTAGAAGATATTACCAATCAGTATAGAAGATATAAGGATTCGATACGTTCCATTCACTTAGTATTGAAAAAGGTTGTATCTTTCATGCAAGAATTTACTCCTCAAGGTCATCATGAAAGAATGAACTCTGAAGTGATTGATATGGATAGTTCTACTGTTTCGTCATCGGGTTCCGTAGAAGAAGAGGAAGAAGAAATTCAACAGCTCGAGGAAACAGCAGAATATCTTCAAAAGGGTTTGACAAGGTTCAAACAATTTGTGGAAACTAAGAAACGAGAAGTCAGTAACCTTCGAGAAGAAGTAGGAGAAAAGCAAAACTGTCTCTCCAGTTTAAGAACACAAATGGAACAACTTACTTCTGCAACTCCTGCTCATTCTCGTGACCATTCTCAGCAATACGCCTATTTCCGTTCTCAGGTAATTGAAAGTATCCGGACAAACGTCGATGATGATTCCTTCCAACCCAATCTTTGGGACCCAGAGAAACTAGCAGATGTTGAATTTTTACAATATAAGATTGCCGAGATTCTACAAAGTGAAGCCTACAAGGACGAACTCATACAAGGAATTTTAGCAGAAAAAGTGAGTCTCATTCTTTTATCTTTAGTGGCAAATATAAACTTAAAATTTTCCAGGCAAGAATAGAATCTCAACGAGATGCTGCTCAAAGTGAAGTCGACCGTATTCTCCATTCCTTAGAGATAGAGAAAGAAAATTCTAAAATGCTTGAAGATCAGTTGAAGAAGATGCAGAATAATCAAGACCATCAGGGTATAGGAGAGGAAGCCTTAAGAAAGAAGCTAATACAATCTGAAAGTAAAATACAATCCCTTGAAAACTTTCGAAAGCAGATGCAACGACTTGTTGATCAACAGTCCATAGAAATACAAACTTGGAAGAAGCGTGCTCAAAGTGTTTCTGAAGAATTGGTAGCAGCTCGAAAGGAATATGAAAATCATGAACGTTCTAGAAGCGAACAATTGCAGCGTCTCATGAACGAATTGATCAAGCAAAGACGACAAATTATTTTAGCAGAAGAACGTATAGCAGCTGCTAGTGTTATTCAGAAAGAAATTCAACAACATTTTGATCAAGGTCAATATTTACGTGAAGGACGTGGAGGAGCTATTTCATCTTTTGTGAATGGTCTCGAGTATATTGCTGAACAAGTCATTTCTAAACTTTTCGGTGCAACACGTCCTAACAACCCTCATTATGGCTTGGCAGGTTCAGTCATCAATCACAGCAAGGACATTCCTTTGGAGACCATGACCAAATTGGGAGGAGAACTTGAACAAAGTGCAAAGGCTGCAGAAGCTGCATTATCACGAATGGATCATAATATTGAACTGTTTTCTCATTCCCGTTCCTCTTCAAAAGATGCTTCAGAGACTATAACGGTATAAATCCATACCTTTGGTTTTCGCTTTATAAATGTTTGATTTTCTAAACAACCGGCAACTGAACATGGACTTTATTTGAATACCTTTCCTTGATTCACTGGTTTATTGGTAATGGAACTAAAGTCACCATCCCAAGCAAAGAAGTTTTCTATCAAGGTTCTGTCCTTCGCATTATTTGGATCCAACTTACTAAACTCATAAGCATCAAAGTCGACTCCCTCCTTCATATCCTTCGGTATATCTTGACCTACAAAAAGCCATACACCATGTATTTCGACGGAACCGGCGGGACCACTTTGCCCAAAAAGTAAAATACTTCCAAAAGTACTCTTTCTCAAAGACTCCAATCTTTGAAACCATCCAGAAACCAGATTAGCGGACATGAAAGTCTTCTCCAATTCATCGTTGTATTTGTACTTGCAATACCACAAGGAAAGTTGTGAGGGATTGAAGTGTTCCCAAAACCAAGGCAGCGCTTCAGTTCTAGTATCCGTATTACTATATTTACGTTTCCATTCATTCATATCCATAAGTTCATTACTAAATCCATTCACATGGGAGCTTTGAGAAATTGTGCTTTCGTGTCCTTCTTGTACAGTTGATGCTGTTGCAGTTTTCTGACCAACCAATGGTTCCGTACAAAACTCCACACTACCAATCACTCTTTGAAATGATTGCTTATTCAGACAAGTATGCAACCAACGTAACAAGGAGGTATAAGCCGCTCGAAAACTCTTCCCCAAGGCGATACGAAATAGTGGTACAATATAACACACGGCAGTGATATCCGCCAAAGTAACGCGCTCTCCAACCAAGTAAGTGTTGTGCAGTAAGTGTAACTCCAAAACGTCCAAATAACGTTTGATTTGTTGCTTTGCCTTTTCAGCTTCTTGTTCTTGGAAAGAAAAGTTTCCTGGCATGAAATAGGGATATAATAAGACTGGATAATGTTTCGCAAATGCGTCTTCTGCAAAGGAAATCCACTGCTGCACTTGGCACTCTTCATAGAGAGAATTTCCACATAAACCCTTGTCCGGACGCAATTTTGCGAAATACCAGGCTATAGCGGGACTCTCAGAAACAGGACCTTGAGGAGTTTCCAAAGCTGGAATCTTGTGTATAAAGAATTGTTAAAGTCAGTGAATGCAAAAAGACACGATGAAAAAAAATCAAACTTACCTTTCCCAAGGGAAATAACTTTAGAAATTCTGGACTCTTGTTGTCCTTTCCCATCTCGAACTTAGGAACTTGAACTGATACTTGTGCATATTCAGCAGCAATAAGCGCTTTTTGAGCTCGTGGGTTGTTTGGATACGTATAGAGTTTGTACATTTGAAGGAAACAACTCAACAACCAAAACGCCGGCGACGACTCGATATGCAAAATCGATTCCGATGCTTTGGAGAATGATGATGAAGGCCATCTTTCAAATATATACAAGTCTCTCTGTATTAGTAATTGAATGCTTTCATAGTAAAGCAGTATTTTACAGTCCAACGCATTGCAAACAGATACTCTAGGGTGAATAGAAGGTGTTACTATTTGTTTGATAAGCATATTCGAACAGGCACCTGTAAGTCTCCTTCACCAATGAATAACTTGGAGTGGAACGAGACAAACTATTTTCTCATACAGAACAGTTTCCAAAGACACAAAACCCTTACGAATAGAATCATCGGCTTTCAAAGACAATTGACAAGTTTCAGAAACGAGAGTCCTTCCTTCTTTCAAACGCTGTTCACAAGTCTCTAGACGCTGTTGAACCGTTAAAGGATGGTTTGTATCGCTATATGAATATATTCGAATAAATAAAGGTGGAATCCTGTCCAATTCGAAATTCTGTACACTAACTGCACACAATAACTCTACAAGAATCATATTAGAGACATCGATATTCTCAGAACAGGTTAAAGATAAAATTTGCAGATAATATCGAATGCTCCTTAAATGAACGCTGCTATGTACAAAATAATGTTCAACTGCTTTGTAAAAGTCCCTTGCCAGATTGGAGAAGATTTTCGCTTCATATATATGCTCAAGTACTATGCATAGTTGTTCTATATACCTATAAGGACTTTGAAACAATGCCAATCCTATAATCGTATCTAGTAAAGCACTTCGCCAAATACACTTGCAGTTAATCCTCGAGTCATTCTCCTTTGCCTTCTCAATTGGAATACATTCTGAAACAAAACAACTTGTATGGTCGGTATTCACTGGACACAATCGTAGCCATTCCAACAGACACTTTGCAGTATGAATGACTGCTTCAAACGATGAACTTGTACAATATGTCACAAGATATTGAATGTACAATTTCAAGAGAGGAAAGTATATGGGTTGGAAACAATTACGCTCGTAATATAAACATTGATATCCAAAAATAGCCAATTCAAAACTCAAACAAGACAAAACTGACTGTGATGTTATATAAACCAAATGATTCTCTTCACTTCTGCAACAAACTTGTAAACTTAAAGATAAACGGTGTTCCTCATATTTTCTTCTGCGAATGTCAAACAACAAAACAAAAGCTCGTGGAAGGCTTTCAATCACTTGTTCATCATTTGAAGAAAGAAAAAACTTGAACATGAGCAGCAACTTGTGTTGTTCACTAAGATACAAAATATTTCTCTCGACTGGGTCTATTGAGTTGCATGTTTTGAAAAGGCATTTGTTCACCAATTGAGGAAAAATCAAAACACTTCTTCGGACAAATTGAGGATTCCGAATACCTAGTCTTTCAATGCTCCATGACAAAATAGGCAAATCATTTTGGAAGAATTCAAAGGCCTTCATATAGTATTTGAAGATAAGACCCAAGTTGCAGTCTTCACATAGCATTAGATTAGAAACTAAGAACGCAACTGAATAGCGAAACAAAGGATTGGGATCTAAGAGACACATCAACAACTTCTTTAAGGATATATCGCCAAGGCACAAGTCTTGTGCGTGATAAGTCAACACGTTCAACGCCTTTACACGAATCAAGCCACTCGAGTCATACAACAACGACAATAAGCAGTCGACAACATGTCCTGTTAACCTTGTGTTGGTCTTAAAGTAATACAGAAGCATATCAATTACATGAACGAATGACAGTCGTATATGCAAACAAGAATCCTCAGCAAGTTGAACCAAAGAGCCGGCTACTTCAAGAGCAACAATACCTTTGCTGTTATTCAACTTGAGTTTCTGAAGAAGTGAATGAAGATAGTCCCAACTACTAGTTATAATAGGATTGGAAATAAAAGAATATTTCTCCGGTCTGATACTCTTCCTTAAAAAAGCCTGTAGAATAATAAAATTGGGCCTGAATAACAGTTTTTCTAATAACTGAAGTCCTAATTGACGAACTAAACAAGAAGGATCGTTGCATACTTTCAATGCAATGATTAGAAACGAATGATGAAGAGCCAATGGCTGCCTTTTCATCGGAATAGCAATGAATACGTCTACGAGCTGCAAAAGATGCTTCAAAATAAAATAACGAATGACTTTTGGTTGTCGAATAAAAAGACTGGGGATCAAATATTTCAGCAACAAAAGCAAACGTGAGCAAAAGTCTTCTCCACTCTGTCTGACCCAGTAGAAGAGAGAATCGATGCTACATAACTTTACAAGAGCACTCTCGTCCTCCATAGAAATAGTAACAAGAGTATGAAAAAAAGAATCAACTATAGAACGACCTGACCAGCAATATCGAAATAAATAGGCCCTCCAAGCACGTTTCTCTACGTCCGACTGGTAAGAAAGTTGAAGAGCAGATTGCAGAACATCCTTATCGTAACTTTGTATAGCTGAGGCATAATACAATATACGTCGAATGAAAAGAAGACCATAGAGAGAAGTTGAAGAAAAAGTACGATAGGAAAAGTTCTCAACTTTGCGACACCAAACGATATTACACGTTTGCAAAAATATTTCGCGTGGCTGAAACAAGTGTAAAGTTTCAATATTATTTCGTATGAAGAATGCTTCCACAGTTTTCAACTCAAAGTGACTCAGTTCCCTACAGGACAAGATATCATTGTCCTTGTGCATAACTCTATCGATAATGTAAAATAAAGTTGAGTCAACCAACCATAATCCCTTTGGTAAAGAATTGAGTTTTGTGGATTCCTTTCTGCTTATAACCATAACAAGATAGTCATAAGTAGAGCAACTGAAATCTTTAATCAACGCGAACTGCAGAATATATTTTGCGAGTAAACCAGAAACAAGACAGAAATCCAACAAAACCAGTGAGAAAAGTAAAAGACATAGAGATGATTGACATATAGCTCAAGTACACTATAAGAGACACAAAATCAATACCATTAAAGTCTGGTTGCGTCATAAGATAAAACAAACTGTAAAGAAAGACGTATAGTCCTGAAGAACCTGCGCTGAAAAATGAATAAAACCACCAACGATAATCTTCACCACATAAACGCAAATAACACAACACGATACTAATCTCAGCAGAAGTTACAATCAATAAAATGAAAACAATAGAAAGAAACCCGAACATGTAATAAACTTCGTTTTGCCATAAGCTGCCAAGTATAAAGACGAGTTGAATGAAGACAGACCCAAATGGCAAAACTCCTCCGATAAGAACTGACAAAAGAGTGTTGTTGTACCAAGGCTGTCGAGGTATCTTTCTAGGAATCTGATTGACTCGTACTGGAAATTCGTATGATGGCCTTCTTCTTCCAAAGTAACTTCCTAGAAATACCAGTGGAAGCGATATGCCAAACCATAAAAATAAGATGAGAACGAGCGTCGAAAATGGAACAGTATCGTTGGATTGCGATAACCACATAAGAAAATTCAAACAGAAGAATATTAAAAAGATCAGACCAGGGAACAATATGGCTGTACCTAAAGCAACTCGTTTCCAAAACAAACCACCAAAGGACTTGTAAAGACTTGAAGAAACATAGCCAGCAATAACGCTAGTAAGAATCCAAAGAGATACCATCGCACTTAATAAACCCCCTCGATTGGCGGGGGAAAGAAATCCAATGAGAGCAAAAAGTAGAGTAATACAGGCAATGGATAAAACATGTGCACCGGTGCCTATAGCAACACAAAATAAACTAAGATAAGGAGGACTCCGAAATACATCACCATGAATGAGCTAAACTGATTTCAATGGAAAAAGTAAAAACCAAAAGAGATACAAACCTTCCAACCAGTCTCTTCCTGAATCTCTTCTTCATCTTCAGGTTGACTGTAACGCAATAGATCTTTTCGAACTGTCCTAAGCATTATCATGCCAACTAATGCTGTCAGAAATAATGTAGTCAAAAGTGAGTTGATTATAGAGAACCACTGAATTTCTTCCTGTTCTTCCGCAGCCTTTAAAAGAGGGTCCCATCTCGTCGCCCATCGAACGGGACTCTCTTCAAACTCCACGTTGTAAGTGAAATATACTGTCTTTCCTACAGAAACTTCTTCAAGACCTTCAGCACTACAGAAAGAAGGATCTTCAGGATCTCCGGAACGAGCCAAAGAGGAAGGCTGCACTTCAAATCCTACTATACGATACAAGTTTTCTGGGCCTGCAGCGTCAGGTCGATGGTATAACACTTTAAAATGAAGATGGTTGTACACATAAAATTGATCGTTGAGTGAATAACCCACAGGATATCCAAGTTGATAACTAGGGGCGAAAATGAGAAAACAGTTTGAGCAATAATGGACTGTACTTACTACTCGTCACCACCTTCTATTTGTGTTTGTTTCTTTACAACCAAAGGCATATTATCCAGATTGAGGCGGGCACGATAGTCTCTCCGTATCAGGTTCTTCAATTTAGCTACATCCTTCGAGTCTAAGGTTCTCGTACAAGCAACTTTACAAGACTCTGGAACAAGCATAAAGGCTTTGAACGGGGTCGACTTGGAGTGCTCACCCAAAAGTATCTTGAACCGAAGTGTGAAGTTCAAAATTCAATAGAACAAGAACTAGTCTTACCTGACCCACATTTAGAGTCTTCTCCTTCTCTTCTGGAGGTGAACAAAAAGGAAGAAAGTAAAAGTCATAAGGGACATTGCTCCTTGAAGAGGTCAACTTGTTTGCACGAATATCCAATTCTGCTCCTTGAGGATAATCGTTTGGATATATTCCGGGTATATAAAAAGCACTAGTTGCTACAAAGTATAATAACAAGGCCACTTGAAAGAGCTGACTCTTGCAAAAGTTCCGTCGGTCATAACTTATCCACATAACGTGGGACGTTTTCAATATTTCACTCAAGTTTATAAAATTGGACTGTTAGACTCAATGAATTCAGAAGTGATTACTGTAGGTAGAAAACAATTCAGTCTTACGTTTTACTCAAAACAGAAAAGGAACAAACATTTGAAGAAAAGGAAACAGCCAAAACAGCAGTTATTGCAAAGGATCTACTGGCAGTATGTTACTTGGATTCACCATGGTCTTAGTCTTAACTTTCTGAGTACAGGGAACTGCTGGAGGTACTGCGCAACTGTTAGTGGGACATCCGTTTGATACCATCAAAGTGAAACTACAAAATCAGCCTTGGGTACCTCCTGGACAAACTCCACAATATACCGGTGCAATAGATGCTGTAAAGAAGACTGTAGGAAAAGAAGGTTTGGGTGGTCTTTACAAAGGAATGGGAGCTCCACTAGCGTTTGTTGCAGTATTCAACGCAGTTTTATTCGCTTCCAACGGCCAAATGAAGAGAATCGTTCATGGTGAGGATGATAAGTCACTTATGACCATTCCAGAATTTGCACTGTGTGGTGCAGGAGCCGGCTTAGCGGTTTCCTTTGTAGCTTGTCCAACGGAGTTGATCAAATGTCGTCTTCAAGCTCAGTCTGCTGATTCTGCAACCGTTTACAAGGGGTAGTGCCATATTCTTTCTTTTCGACTGGGTTTGACAAAGTTTACTCAGGCCAGTTGATTGTGCTCGTCAAGTATGGAAGAGTAGAGGTACTCTTGGCTTGTTCAAGGGTCTTGGAGCAACGCTTGGTCGCGAAGTACCCGCAAACGCCATCTATTTTTCAGTCTATGAATATACCAAAGGTTTGTTTGTCCCTCAGGGTGGTTCGAAGGAGGATTTGGGTTCGGGAGCCTTATTGTTGGCCGGAGGAATAGCGGGATTGATGTTCTGGGGCACAGTAAGTAATAATTTGTTCAACTTGCTCTTCTATACTAAATATAAGAAAGGTTTATCCAATAGATGTTGTGAAGACACGAATTCAAACGGACTCTGACACACTACCCAAATTTCGAGGAATTGTCGACGCTACTAGAAAAATTGTTCAACAAGAAGGATTACGTGGATTGTACAAGGTAAGTGATGAAGTGAATGACTTTAGTATATAAACATTGTTGTTTTTAGGGGTTTCTTCCTTGTTTAGCTCGTGCTTTCCCTGCAAATGCAGTGACCTTTTTAACCTATGAAGCAGTTGCACACTTTTTAGAGAGACAGTTTGGTTTACGTTAAACGTCGTTTGCAGAACCATAAAAGTTATCTTTAAAAGACTATTTTAGTTGGTAATGCGCTTGATAAAATATTTCTTTAAAGAGAGTTTTATATCTACAAAACCGACTTCCTCCTTGTTCATCAGAGTCTGCCTCTGGAACAACTTTCTGGTTGTTCTGCTATCGTTCATTCGATGGGTGCAATTTACCCATTGGATATTTCACATTACGATTACGTAATCCATAATCAACCGATGATGAGGATAATGGGTTCGCAACCTATTTTGGGCTTTCCCGGATAGTCTCGCAGATAAGGACCTGAACAGGTGTTTCCCTCTTTTTCTCTAGCGCACACATCATGAGCCGGAGTCATCCATTAGGTGAAAATAATATTCAGAGAATACCTGCATCAGTTATTAACCCTAGGACGGGGAGACCTATAAGAACCGATGCAGATACCTTTCGTTGTCTTTCTGAAGAGCAACAGATGAGAGCTATTGAAGAAGAAATTTCTAATCCTAGGACAACTATCAATCCTGAAACGAATAGAGCTATTCTATTAAATGGGAATACTGCTCGAGAGCTGAGAGCACCAGGGAGATTGCCCAGGCAGGGAACACCTGCATCATTTCTTCTGTTTGACGGTCAATCAGTAGAGCCGAGTCAACACTTTTCGTCTCTCTCTGTAGAGCTACCATGCCATAGATGCTAGAAGAAATTCTTCCCCTCGTCAAAATGGCGCTATGCATCGACACAGAAACCATGAAAGACATGAAGAGTCTCCTGCTTCCACTGAACGCGTAGACAGTGAAACTGCCAATCGGATGAGTATCGACAATTCTGAAGACGGCCACCACATAGTAATTCGCAAACATGTAGCAGTCACCAGTCCAGTAACACCTGAAGAAAATGATCGTTCGCCCACTGTTGGAACTAATGAAACTGGGAGTCGGCGTGACACAGTTAATGGGCATGATGGATCAGTGTTAAGGGGGCCACGGAGACTAGAATATGATGACAGTAGCCAAGCGCAAAGCACAAACCTAGTTCCTAGCTCAAGAAGAGCGAACACTTCATCTGAAAGAGTTAACTGTGGATGTTGTTCTTTGATGTGATGCATGTTTTCTTGCGTACATTAAAATTTGTTGTTGCATGTGGTCCAGTTCTTTATTGTGCAAATGAGATTCCATTTCTATGGACATTCTCTCGAGGGAAATTATCATATTTCCCAAAATGCTGTTGGAAGAGGAGGATTCGGAAGCAAGTGTCTCACGAAATAAATGGAAAAAAGTAACGCAGAATGCTACTTTATGTTTAGCAGATAATCGTAGGATTGTAGCTATAGTTGTATTTGTTATCATACCAATTTGTAGTTTCACTTTGCTCCTTCTGCCTCAGGAAAGGAAACTAGTGTTGGATTTTCCACGTGGTTTCAACAAAGGGAGCATACTATATTCCGCTTGGAATAATTCCTTTTTATTAAGAAATTCCTCAGATATTTGTAACAACGATGAATACGTTCCTTCAGTTTCAAGTTTATTGAGAGGTGCCTCAGTCTTGTTGGCCTTGAATATCAGAAACGGAGGACACGTACTGCCACATATTGCAGTTGAAGTTCTCAAACTATCCAAGTATTTCCTTCCTGATAGTTTATTTGTCTCTATATATGAAAGTGGTAGCAAGGACACAAGTGGCCTTTGTCTGCACAAACTGGCTGAAGAGCTGAATATGCGAAATATACGACATAGGATAATTGTAAATGGCAGTATTGTGAGGGAAAGCAAGGAGAACAGGATTCACTTTTTGTCTCGCATTAGAAATGAAGTTTTGGAGCCACTCTATACTGGAAACTTTTCGGCAAAATATGTGGCGTTTATCAATGATGTTTTCTTTTGTGCTAATCAGATTACAAGGTTGCTTTTACATATTATTCATGGTGCAGATATGGTTTGCGGTCTGGATTATGGTTCTGACTTGAAATTTTATGACATTTGGGTCACAAGAGACATACATGGAGGTCCTGTCACAAATGCTGAAAATTGTTCGATCTTTCAGTCAAAATCAGACGTAATGTTGTGTCAGCAAAGAAAGCTTGTTCCCGTTTTCTCCTGTTGGAATGGTTTAGTGGCCATGAATGCTGATATTTTCTCAAAGAGTAATATTCGTTTTCGTTCGGTAGATAATATCCGAGGAGATTGTCCGGCTTCAGAATGTACGCTACTCTGTTTGGACTTGTGGAGAAATAACCATCAACTTGTCTATGTGGATCCAGAGGTTAAGGTAGCATATGATTCTACGGTATTTTCCAAAATTTTCTCACAGTCAGGCACAATCTTAAACAGAAGTATTATTGAAGTAATTCGAGAAGAGGAATTGAACAAATTTTTGCCACCTCAGTATTACTTCTGTGAGCCACTTCCCCCTTACTCTACTCGAGATGATCCAAACAGAGCTCGAGCATCTNGGTATCCAGTTTGAATCAATGTTTGGATCAGCTTGGAAAGCTCCTTCAAAGAACTGCTTCCCACTCCAGTGGAGCATTCTGTCCAGAACGCAGCATTCTTTTTTCGAAAAATTGAGTTTGAAGTACATTGATTTCTGCGCGATGGCAAAGTCACCTTTATCTGGTTTGAAAATTTGTGAATTTAACTTTTATTTTAAATCAGAGCTCAACTGTGCTCCAAATCTATTTAACGTTTCAGAATACTTCCAGTGATCAATCTCAATGTTGTTGGATGGGCAGAGTGTCTTTTATATAGCTACTTGTATGACCTGTTATGTACTCGTGGCTTACAAATAGAAAATGGATTGCTACTCATTTCATATTTTATGGTATGTGTTCATCGTGCAACAACCTAAGAAATGTTTCTCCTACAAGTGTTGTATGTGAAAGTTCTAGTAACTCACGAAGTAGAATGACACTACTCATGAGAGACAACTTATCAACAATGTAAAATATACAGATGTTCTATAGAGTGACCAATCAAAAATATCGATAAGCAATTAGGAAACACAACGCTTCACAGCAACAATCTCAGTCTTCAATCCCACCCACCATCAGTCGAGTGGGAGCAAAAATATCTCTTCTCAATGGCTAAAAACTCCAATGACTTTTGCCTATTTTGTTCTATGTTGGCATTCAATTCTTCTATATCGTTTCGCAGAGCTACTTTTTCCGTCAAAATAAGAAAAATGGTTTCACTTCGTAGGACACCTCTTTTTTGTTCTTCAGTAATACTTTCGTCTCTTGGAGAACATAAGGAGAAACTGTCCTTTCCCTCTCTGAAGGCAGATTCTTTTCGCCATCCCATAGACCTTGTCTCCACTAACTTATTACGCAGAGTAGTAGGGCTTGAGGTGATATCCAGGCGACTCATTAATCCTTTTATAGAGAAATTATTTCTCCTTGAGAATCTTTCCGTTGGGATCCAAGTTTCTAGTAGACAGTTGCCTGAGTTATATGCATTGTTGGTTCAGGCTTGTAGTATTCTGAACATATATCCCTATCCTTCTTTATTTTTGCGACAGAGTCCATATCCCAATGCATATACTCTTGCATTTCAAGGAGAGAAACCTTTTATAGTTATACACTCATCTCTGTTGGATATACTCACTGAAGCCGAACTTCAAGTAGTTTTAGCTCATGAACTAGGACACTTAAAATGTGAACATGGAGTTTGGCTGACGTTAGCCAACTCCTTTGCAATCCTCTGTAGTTCTTTTGGTGCAATAGGCTTTCCACTTTCTAATGTACTAGAACGTCACATGACAAAGTGGTTTCAAGCAGCGGAGTTCTCCTGTGATAGAGCCTCCTTATTAGTATCCCAGGATCTTTTCACAGTAACTTCTACTATAATGAAATTGGCTGGTGGGTCGTCTAGCATTCATCATCAGCTGGATGTGAGAGAATACATGAGACAGGCTGAGGAGTTTACAAGGGAATCAGAAAAAGGTTTTCTATCTCAAATAGCTTCGAAACAACTTGCTGAAGTGGCTTCGCATCCTCTTCCAGTTGTTCGTATAACGGAGTTGAATCGATGGTCGACTTCTTTGGAATATACAAGATTGTTAAGAACCGGAAGGCCTCTTGTGAAGGAGTGATTCGAAGGCATCTGGGTGCTTTGTACAAATAATTTTATAAAATTTCGATAAATAAGATCTTGTCGGCGTATTGACAGAAATTAATTGTCTACTTTAACCATTCATGTCACTTCATTACTCTTCTTTCATCTCCTTTTAGAATTTTGGACGGAAATGCCGGCTTTTGTGAGGTTTGGGTGTTTTACGAAAACATTTATCAAGACTTTTGACTCTGGACGTAAATGTATTCCCTTTCAGGAAGCTTTGCAGCGTCCTTGTATCTCCCAGACCTGTCGACGAAGCCTGAGGAACTTGTTTATAGTAGCGCAACGTTATCGAGTTCCCTATTGTACACCGATATACTGTAAGTCTCCAACTGACGAGATTAAAGAGAAAAGAGCAAAATTGTTGGTTGCAATATTGAGAAGTGTTTCCTCTATACTGTTTCGTCCTTTTGTATCGGTTGTAGTTTCCTTGTTGGCTCTGTCTTTTGGTTACCCTGTTGTAGCACTTGCAACTAAGGGAGAGGGCTTTGAACGTAAAAGTATTACTACCACTTGGTCCAAAGATTATGAATCATCGGCGAGTAGAAGCGTGGAAACTCAAACAATCATGGTAAAGAGTGCGAAAGTTTCGGAACAAAATCAGATCAAGCAAAGGACAAGCGGTAGCTCAAAAGAAGCCTCAAGTGCACCCAAAAAGATGCAACTTGCAAAGTCGGAAAAACTTATTACTTGGGGTTTGACGCTTCTTGTTTTTGCAGGAGTTTGTGTCGTGTTATATAAGATATCTTTGAAGGAGGAAGAAGAGGAAGCAAAGGCCATTGAAAGAGAATATGAAAGATTAGAACAGTTGAAGCGAGAATTTATCGAAACGGACGAGGATTCTCCCGTACGTGACGAAGACTTGTTGAGTAGTCTGCGCAAACGACTTGAAAATCAGACACAGGAGGATAGTCAAGGAACTTCAGAAGTAGATAGTGAAGCAAAAGACCCAAATATGAACATTGAGAGCGTTCAAGAGGAGTCGCATTCATCAGCATCTGTTGAAAGTGAGGAAGTTGCATCCTCAGAAAGGACATCTTCCACAGAAGGAGTTTCGATAGAGCATTTAGATATGCTACGGAGAATGTATGAAGGAACTTCTAAAAAGAATATCGAAGATGGAAACGGAAACCTAGACGTGAACAACGAAGATGGCAGGAACGCTGCCAATGATACCAAATATGATGAAAAGGACTCGAAAGATAGGAAGAATCATAGGGCTTGAGTCAGTATTCTTTCAGTTTGTGTTTAGAATTAGTTTCTCTAAAATAGACGTATATAAATCCTCTTTAGGGAGTATATTATGTATTGTAGTATTTCCTTCTTTGTGCTATAGTGATATGGATGTTATATATTCTCGTTTTCATGGTCGTTGTGGAATTTTTGTATCTCGAAATGAAGTCAAGTTGTGTCTGTTTTGTAGCCGACATATTTTCTTCCAGGCAGTCTTTTGTATTTTTGTCAAATAAGTGTATTCCCTCAAGTGGCAGTCATTTGGGTCGAAAAGGGAAGCAAAGGAAACCTGTTATAATAGCCGAGTCTTCTTTGTTTGACTTTCATAATAAGTCTGTTGAAGTGGATTCTGTGCAGTTTGGTTTGTTCCGTTCCAGACTAACAGACGTGTGCAAGTTTTGTGAAAGTCTCGACCAAGACAAGTTGGTAGACTTGCAAAGGCAGCTAAATACTATCTGCAACGACTTTGAAAAACTAGACGAGCTTTATCACCAATTATACGAGAAATATGAACAAGTTACACAGCACAACGAACAACTTATAAAACAAGTAAGACTAATTTTGTTGAGTGCCAACTGAGCATGTACAGAAAGGACTAGGTGGATGCCTTACAACGTAAGGTAAAGGAACTAGAGTCCGATATTGTCTATTTTCGAGGTGAATATTAACGAATTTGGCTTTGCAAGGGGAAATGGTGTTACTGGGCAAAGGGGTGTTACTTGCGTTGTAGTGTTCACTTAGATGGCCAACCTTGTTCTGAGCAACTCTTGCAAAAAAGAAACTGAAATTGGAAATGGTGATATTTGGAGATGGAACAGAAGGAGAGCAGCCAGTGACTTTGTTTTGGTAGAAGGTACCAACTCGTTGGACGCTGCTCCAGGTATTTCCGGCAGTCGATTCAAGACAAGAAGAGCAAGTATTTCAGAGTCCACGTCAGCGAATAATGTTTGTGTCAACGTTGGTCATAAAAATAAGAAGTCTTTGCCCCTAGTTTCCTACAAGAAGTTTGAGCTGCCATATTATGCCCCACGGACTTCCTCACCGAAAAGCCTTTTTGAACAAGTTGGTTTAATAAGGCGAAGTGCAAAAGTATGCCAAAAATATTTTTCAAAGCTCTTTGGACATACTCAAGAGAAGAACAAGCTGGAGAGTTCCTTTGTAGGCCCTCAGTGTTGTGAGCAAGACCAATATCGGGCTTCTAGTGAGGCCTCATCGCAAAATAATCGTCTTAAGTTAGATAGCAGTTCACAAACGAGTACTTGGTCGTTTTGTGCTCAACAAAATTTTCCTTCACCCGAGTCATTTCAGGTAGTAGGTGTCAATGAAACGAAACGTACACCGGAGCAAAGAAGTCCCGTGACTGATATTGCAGAAAGATCAGAGTCCCAATATCAATCAAACAACGTGTGTTATGGGTTGGATCGGTTTCTAAGAATTCTTTCAGGAATTGCTGGTGAAGAAATTACAACACAAGTGGTTGTTAGAGTTGGCGTCGAGAGCGTGCTTTCGATGCTTCCTCTTATTGTTTGGTTTCTCGTTTTTAATTTCTATCCTCGTTTATCTCTTTCCTGGCGTCCTTCTATCAATACCAATCTGCTTCCTAAACTGGAGGGTCTTTTACACTTTCCATATCGTTGGTTTGCCACGAGGTCCAGTAAAGCGGCAGATTTTGTAGCAGCGGTTCCTTACACAATACACGCAGTTCTGCCTGGCTTATTTTTTTTATATCTTCTTTTGACTGTAAGGAAAAGTTTGAATACATAATTTCATAGTTTCTAATATCTCATACAGGACGGCCGGAAGGAAGCATTTTGTTTTTTTGCATCTTTGGGAGTACTAAATACTTCAGCCGTCTTGACGCAAGTAAGCAATTCTATTTATTATGGGGTACTATCTTATGCAGAGTAGATTCTTTTTCCTTTTGCACCTCCTTGGTACTTTGAGTTGAATGGACTAGCAAAGGCAGAACACTGGATGAGTGGGAATCCTGGAGCTGCCTTGGCACGAGTTGATAAGCTTTTCGGTATTGTATTTTATCAGGAAACTTATACTACTCAAAATAGAATACCATTTGGTTCTTTTCCAAGTCTTCACGCTGCATGGCCATCACTTGTAGCATTTTGTTTTCCTACGCGTGGTTCTCATCTGTTCAAAGTTTTGGCGACTTGCTATGTTTGTTTGATATATTGGGCAGCTATGTATCTACAACATCATTATGTCATCGATCTGTTAGGAGGTACACTTTATGCCTATTTGACATATCGAATGGTTTTTGCTAGAAAATTGGATATTCCAAGTTTATTTTTCAAGACCCAATCAAATGACTTGACGGAGAAGGACTTGACCTATTCCTCTGGAAAGAGACCACCTTTGCAGCCAGCTTATAGCAGGAACGTGGTATCCTCAACTAGTCAGGATTCGTTGACTAACCAGAGAAAGTCTACCCATCACTTGGGACACTATTCTTAGTTCAAAGTTTTTCGATACTCCTACAACTGTTTATTTTTCGTTAATATAAAATTTGAAATGTTTACTACTTTATTTCTTGTTTCTTTCAATTTATTTTCTTTGGATATTTGTAAGATAAAAAGAAATATAAAGAGTCTTAAGAACTTTGAACTGAAAAGCTTTGAGAAAGTAATTCCGGAAGTTTAGATTTCATGAGTGGACGAGAAATGGAAAACGAGGATGAGTTTATGCTCAAATGTTTAGAAATACTTCGCGACGGTCGTAGTTCGTTTCGTACCATAAACAGAAAGTCCGTAATCTCCGAAGCAAATCAAAGTGTTTTATGGAGCGGACTATCGAAAAGAGGACGTACCAATAGGAAGCTGAACTTTACAGACCTCAAAGTGGTTGATCCAGCCTTTAGGAGGGGAGCAACTTTAAGACTTTTGAGTAACGTTATTATTCTGTCGGTATTTGACCTAAGGGCACTTGTATTTCATGAAAAGGTTCAAATATTTGACCCTGAGAATCTTCAAAGTGCCAAGGTTTCGAAGCAACTCGTAACTAGTTTGCGTTCAGCTCAACAGTCTAACAACCATTTCGTTTTTGAACTTTTTGTATTGGATACACTTTTAACGCTCGTAAGCAAACAAGCAACAGCGCCTTTTGAATCCTTGGAATCCGCAACTTATCAAATGTTGAAAGAAGCACCGAGAAAGAATGTTGCCCACTATCTGTCTTCCCTCCGACTAAAAAAGCAGCAACTTTATCAGATTGCCGAGAACTCAGAAATTCCACGTCAGCTTTTGGTTTCATTTCTCGAGGAAGAAGCTTTTGAAGTTCCTACTGACTTTGACAGCGACAACTTGAAACAGCAGACTGAAGACCTTCTAGAGCAGCGCCTACTACTGTTTCGTTGTCTTGACTCTTCCATTTTGGTATGTTTTACCCGTGTGTTTATTATGCAGTTGTAAACTTTCTTATAGTTACTTGAAACGATTGGTCAACGAGTACACCGCCTGTTGGAAGAAGTAAATAATCGAGAGGATGTTTTGAGCATCGGCATGGATTCTTTTCGTAATCGAGTCATTGCTTATGATTAAACTTTCACTTTAATATCTAGTGCGATCAGTTTTACCTCGTTAGTAAGTTACAAGCATGATTTTGTTTGGAATTGTTCTCAGATTCCCTAGTTTGGTGCCTGTTTTGGTACGAACATACTGACACCTCTTGAATTGTCAAATACTGGCTCTCCTATTGGCTGGTATTCTGTAGTTGGCGGTAGCTTATTATTTTCTTTCCTATTTTCAGTCGTCATTTTATATTTTTTCAAGGGTTCATTCAAGTATATTCGAAAGCAACGTCGTCAATTGAACAATCATCATTAAAATATTTTTGAACAATTTTGGTTGTGCTCTTTTATCTCTTAGAAAGGATATATGTGAGGACTCATTCAAGAACTGTTGAATTGGATTGTGTGTTGGGGATTATTAAAGTTTTAGCGTCATCCAACAAGAAGAAGAAATAGTAGGAAACAGAAGACTGTGATTGGTTGTTCTAAGAAAATGGCTGGTCATTCGCTTACTTTTGTGCCTTTGCAACAGTTGCGAATATGGTACACTAGAAATAACCTTTACACAGCGTTGTCTTTCGCAAAACACGGTGTTTTTGTGCGGTATGTAAAGTTGTCAAACTTTGCATACTTCAGAATTGGAAAAAGAAGTGTACATCAACTTCACTGCTGCAAGTCTGGTGGTGCTTCTCAGGCTGCTTCAAAGAAAACCGTGATACAAGTTTTGAGAGAGGTAAAGTTGACTACATAATCTTAGCTATTTTTTAAAGAAGGAATTTCTTGTGATATTTAGCGAGGCCTTCTTGACCAAACGACGGGTCCAGAAGTTGAGAAACTTTGCCAAAAACCAGTAAGAATTTATGTAGGTTTCGATCCTACCGCAGAAAGCCTTCACATAGGAAATTTGCTTGGAATAGTGATCCTTCGATGGTTCCAAGCACACGGCCATCAACCAGTGGTTCTATTAGGTGGAGCAACTGGAAAGATTGGGGATCCATCTGGGAAAAGTGCGGAGCGACCTTTGTTGGATGACGAAACGATAGCAAAAAACTTGCAAGGCATTAAAAGAAACTTTGAACAGGTAAGTATTTCGCCATAAACTTAGGCCTGCTGTATAGTTTGTTTATGGTGATTAGATATTGGTCTTTAGTCACGATTCTTTTAACCCTGTGGAACCAATCATTCTGAATAACGACGACTGGTTAGGCAAAATGGGTTTCTTGGAGTTTCTGCGCGATGTTGGAAAATATACTCGAGTTGGTACTATGTTGGGTAAAGAAAGCGTTCGAAATAGAATGAACAACGAAGAAGGCATTTCCTTTACAGAATTTTCTTATCAATTATTACAAGCATATGATTTTGTTCATCTTCATAAACATTATGGAGTAGATTTACAAGCAGGAGGAAGCGATCAATGGGGTAATATTGTTGCCGGGAAGGATTTGGCTAGAAGACTGTTGGGAGCAAATCTTCATGGACTAACTTTTCCTCTACTGACGAGTTCAGATGGACGAAAGTTTGGCAAGTCAGAAAAAGGAGCCATATGGTTATCACCAGAAAAGTTATCTCCCTTTGAGTTTTATCAGTTTCTTTACCAAACCTCTGATGCTGATGTGATAAGACTTTTGAAGTATTTAACTTTCTTGCCACTATCGGAAATTGGAGAGCTCGAGTTATCAATGAAAAATTCGAGTTTTTATAAACCAAACACGGCACAGAAGCTTTTGGCAGAGGAGGTAACAAGACTTGTGCATGGAGACGAAGGTGTTAAATTTGCCCAAAGGGTAACGTCTGCATCGTCTCCTGGTCGTCTTGTTGAGGAATCTATACTCGATTTTGACACTTTGCGTCAATTGAAAGACGAAATACCATCAAAAGAAATCCGCAAAGAACATTTACTGAAAAAAAGTCTGATAGAAGTTTTAGTGGAATGCGGCATTATGAAAAGTAAAAGTGAAGCAAAAAGATTTATTATCAATGGAGGTTGCTATATAAATAATCGAAGAGTTGAGGAACTTGATAGATCGATTGGCCAAGAGGACCTCGTAGAGAACAGTATGCTTCTTTTAGGAATTGGCAAGAAGCAGAAAATTCTACTGGTTGCAGTTGAATAAAGGGAAGGTCAAATCAGTCGAACACTCAATTAGCTTAAGAATACAGTTGAGTGGTTGACTAGTAACCGATATAGATGTCCCAAACGAATAGTATTCCCCATGCCAAACAACTAATGCGGAGAAAGTGCCAATAAATACACAGAATAGAGAGAGATAACAGAACGAAATCAAACATCTAAGTAGTCTTGACGTAAACAATTTCCAAGAGTCACTATCGATATGCAAGCTGGACCATTCAACTCAAAACAAATGAAACAATAGTGGGTGTTTTATATTCGAAAGATAATTTGGTCATGATACATGATAAGGCCAGCTCCCTGAAGAAGATTCAAGCATCGTTCTACTTCGTCCTGCTCCATACCTTGTTTGTCCAACAAGTTCATAACTTCTCGAAGTGAACATTGTTCACTCATCTTTTCTGAAGTGACCTTGTCAATCGCCTCTTTGACCAGAGTCATCGCATCATCAGACATGAAAGTGTTCTCTTTATCCGCTTCATCAAGCATTTGGTCCCTCTCCGTGTATGAATCATCTGCCATAACCTGATCCGTCTCGGTCAAATCCTGTATGGCTTCAGGATCATTAGAATTATCAATGACTTGAGAAGGCCGTCTCAATGTATTTCTCGCTCTTTCTGCTAGCTCATCCTCCTCCTCTTCATTGAAATAGTAAATATCGTCATTCGAATGACTTCCACGTGCCGTATCGCTTCCAAAACGTGGAAGCGATTGAGAACAGCTCTCACTTTGTCTCTTTCTCTTTATTTGCTTCTTTTTGATAGGTCTAGCATCATTATAAAGTGAATAAAGCAAAATTTCTTCGGCTAATTGAGCATCTTCAGCAGTAACTTCGTGACTAAGCCGACATTTTGCATGTGCAGTAGATAAACGTATCAAGGTTTCTAATTGCCGAGCAGTAATAGGAAGAGTACGATCACTATTTTGCTGACGGAGATCTCGATAACTTTAGAACAAAGAATGAGACTGCAATCAATATCCAGAAACAAATACGTACACTTGAGAAATATATTCAGCAGCTTCTTCCGTGAGCACAGGCTTAACTCGAGTTTTGGCGTAATAAATGAACTTCTTCAAAAAGGAAACGCTGAAGGTTATATCTTTCGGCGAACTCTGCCCGCAAAGAGCTCGAGAAAAGAGAGTTGATTCTTCATTTTCAGAACTGATAATGTGTCTATCGGGCATTTGGTGTACGGTCAGAACATGTCCCGCAACATCACGATCTCTCTGAGCAGAGATATTATCCAAAACAATGAATAAAAGGTCAAATCGTGATAAAAGAGAATCAGGAAGAGCAATGTTTTCTTGCGGTTTCTTATGTTTGTTATAAGACCCATATTGAGGATTTGCAGCGGCAAGAACAGAGCAACGAGCGTTGAGAGAAGCATGTATGCCAGCTTTAGCGATGGTTACCTGTAAAAAAATCACTCCTCTTTTTGCGACAAACAAAACAGTCTACATACCGTCTGTTGTTCCATTACTTCATGAATTGCAACTCGATCTATCTCGCTCATTTTATCGAATTCGTCGATACATACGATACCTCTGTCAGCAAGAACCATAGCGCCAGCTTCCAGGTGACGCTCACCAGTATCTTGATCATGAGTCACTGCTGCAGTAAGGCCTACACCAGAAGAGCCTCTTCCTGTAGTTGAAATGGATAAAGGAGCAATGTTCATGACAAAGCGTAACAATTGTGATTTGGCTGTGGATGGGTCTCCAACCAATAGGATATTAATATCCCCTCGAAGATGAGTTCCATTGTCCAAATTCTTTTCACTTCCTCCCAGCAGCTGCAACAAAAGCGCCTAAGAAACATTACAAAAGCTATCTAATAAAATACGAACAAGAATACCTTTTTGACTTGATCATGACCATAAATGGAAGGGGCAATTGACCTGGCTAAAATGTCAAAGTGTCCTTCACTGCTTGCAACTTGATGTATAAGGTACAGATCGCTTTCACTCAACTGGGGCTTGGAAGCGTCTTCATTCACCTGAAGGATATCATTCGCAACCACAATGCTTCGAAAAACTCCCGAACCACCAGTTCTCTGCCCAGCACCAGGGATTGCACGATACACTCCTGCAATGTGGATTCTATCTCCGGGTTTGCATAAATCAACCAGGTCATCTTCTGCTACTATTTCTATCGAACGAGGAAGTTGTCCCGCGGGAGCATTCTCAGGCATCTCCTAGTTGCATTTGATACTTAGTCACCAAGTGAAATATATTCATGCATCTGTACCTGTACTAGAATCTTCTGTTGATCACGAAACTTGCAAAGACCGAATTCTGTTTCAAGAAGATTTCCTTGGTCATCTTTTGATGGATATACGGCAATACCGATTCCCCTATTGTTTTGATCCAAAGTAACTCCGTCACTGTAAGTTCTTGTCGTAAACTTATTTGTGGCGGGACAATAGTGTGTGCTTAAAACAAGCTTTGGGCGCACCAAACTACATCTGGTAACAATACCTTCAATACGAACCAAACCCCCCAAGAACTCGGCAAGCAGTCCTCTGGGTGATACCTGTCGGGCTCCGAAACTTCCACGAAAAGCGATTCTAAACTCATGCAAACTCTTATCTAAGTCAGGTCGCAAGTACAGGGCATATTCTTTAACGGCTTCTTCCATGGCGGGAACCCATATTGCAGGATACTGAAGGAGATTTCTGCAATAGTTGGTTCAGAGCACCTTGAAACAAAGTTGTGAAAAAATACCTGGCAAAAAGATGATCAAAAGCTCTCAGATCATCTAACGATACAACCAAGCGCGTTTTGCCTTGTTCGAGGAGGTCTCTCAATCTCTCTGCGTACTTTCCCTTCTCTAGCTCCTCTTCCAAGAAGTCTGTAAACTGCCGTTTGATAAGATTCTTGTTTTCAACAGTAGCATCTAGTCCATAGAAAGAGTTGACACTGGGATTGTTGGGAGCTCTATGCGAAGTTTCTGCAAGGCCTATGGAAGTCGCCATTCCAAGTTGCAACGAATAGAGAGTTGAGCGCGGGTTTATTTGAAAACGTCGATTTTGCCCGCCAATCTGATAGATTGAAGTCCGTTTGCAGATTGTTGGAACTTTTCCAATCTCGAATCGCAGTTGAATCTTACATTGTATTGCTTTTTATTTGAAGCCTCCTGAAAATTGTTGAGTTTGCCGAGTAATTTGATCAATATTCAATACAAACGCTCACAGCCAATACTTATGTTACTTTTTTTTAAAGCAGTAACTGGTTGAATATTTCTAATAGTTCAAAGAAGAGTTGATGCCACTACTGGTAGAACCAAAGCCAACGGAAAATGGAAAGGTTAACAGAGGAAACTACCACAAAGGAAAGTGCACAACTTTTGTGTTCATAGATAGGCAACGATCTTTCGAGCTTTAAAAGGGAGTTTCTGACAAGAATCTTCTTTGAATAGTATCCCAAATGTCATACTGAATTTCCTTGTAAAGCTATGCATCATACTTGTTGTTCATGAATGAGGGTCATACTGAAAAATCCTCTGTTTTTCACTTCTTGAATTATCTTGGAGTGTTACACTCTTCAAAAATTCCAATAATCTAGAATCCTTTCTAGTACATAAACATTCGAGGGGTATTAGTTGTAAAACTCCAAAGTATTTCAAAATCTCCCAATTCGCTATACGAGGCTCCCATTTGATAAATGAAATTGCTCCAAAACAGTGTCTACCATTAACATTATTCATATGAAAACTACAAATAGGAATGTTTCACTTGTGTAAGAAATTTTTTCTAAAGATCAAAACTCTCCCAAAAATGAACGTAGAAAACTTCTTATAGAAGTTCGTTACTCAACCAGCGCCATATTTCTCATATATTGATTGCCTTCTCTCGAAAAAGCCAATGTTAACTTTGATATTGCACTCCTACGTGGTAAGATTTGTGCTGAACCAACCTTCTAGAAAAATGGTCATTGACTTTGTCAACACTACATCACTTTCCTGACGGTTTGAATGAAATCGCCGCACTTTTTGGGAGTATTTAAATGCAACGACAAGCTTCAGTTTGTGACTGGAGTATCTAATTTACCAGATGAATGAAATATTCAGTGTATGGAGAAATAAACTTTGAAGATATTTACGAATGTTCCTCATCTATAGAACCATTTGAACTCAGTATGAAGAAACTTTTTGGCAAATTTGGTATTTGAAGAGTTAAAAATGTAATCTTAATACTTTTAACTTTTTAGCTGTATTATTTACATCGTTAAGTACAACTCTCTTTTGAACAATGCTCTGCAACTAAATTATTCTCTACGAGAACGAGCTTTTACAAACTATATTCTCGGGGAGTGAGACGCAAGTGTGAGAAGAGAAATGTTGATGGCTCAATGCTTAGTCGACTAAACTAAATTGAACCATTCCAGGAGTCATATAGCATTCAAACACTGCTGAGTCAAAGAAGAAATATGGAGGCGGAGAAAATGACGCAATAGAGTAGCACATACTCCAACAGTTATGATCAAACTGGATGGATATGATTTCCAGCAATGAAAGAAAAAACTGTTGTTTTTCACTTTAACCTGAGGGTACAAAAATGTGCCGATTCTTGTTTTGCATTTTGTCCTGCAATGCTTCAACTGGTCTCGCTACATGTCTATGATCTTTCACAGGGTTTAGCCAGACAATGGTCCACTTGGATACTTGGGACTCAACTCGAAGGCATTTGGCATACTGGTATTGTAGTGTATTCGAAAGAATTCTTCTATGGCGGTGGCATTTGTGTCGAACGCCCTGGACAAACTCCGTATGGGTCACCTGCAAAGGTTTGTCAGAGTTTTTAGTTTCCAAGAAACTGTCAACGTCTCTCACAGATAATTCATTTAGGTGAAACTTCTAAAACTCTTGAGGAATTCCAAACTTTTCTTTCAACAATACGTCACAAATACTCGTTCGAAAAATATGACCTCTTAGAAAACAACTGTAATAATTTCACAAACGAATGTGCTTTATTTCTTTTGAATAAGAGTATTCCTGAAGATATTTTGCATCTTCCTTCAATAGCTCTTGGGACACCTTTTGGACAACTGCTACGACCAGTTATAGCAGATCTTCAGCAACAGTTTCGTCAGAACTTTGGAAGTTCTTCTGTCCTACACTTGTCCGAGACTCAAATGATTCGATCAGCTTTCAAAGGATACCTGGAAATGGAAGTCCTGATCACACTGAGGCTTTCTCTGGTTGGAAGAGCCTTGAAGAATGTCTCTCCGCTGAATATCAGAATCCGTTTCTGTTTGAACAGTTTGACGAGCAAAAAGTAGTCGGTAAACTCTACGAGTTGAACCCTATGGTCAGAAATCTTTCAAAACAAGGAATATTGGAGCTTTCGTTGAATGGAGACTCCTCAACTTTGTTTCCACTGCTGGATAAACTAAGGTTTGATATCTTACAAGACCGAAATCTTGCAATTGAGATTTCGCAAAACTATCTTTCCAGTATTCTACAAAAACATTGTTCTAGTGCAAGTCCATGGTCGACGACGCTAATGAGTCTTCGTCTTTTGACCAACATGTTTCGTTATGATGACATTATTACTGAGTTTCTTGTGCAGACTTCCCATCAAGATATTGTTGTAAAGTCTTTATGCTGTAGTTTTGTTCATCCAAAACCATCAGTAGCCGAAACAGGATGTGCTGCGTTAAGTAACTTTTGTCGATGGTTGTATCACTCAAAAACGGAGCTATCAGAGGAAATTCTATTCCAGTTGGGTCACGACTTTTTTTCATTTATTACAAGAGATGCAAGTTGCAACTATGGAAGTCAGCAAAGGACTCACATACTACTTTCGATTGCCGCTCTTTGCATGTACAGTGAGTCACTTTTAGAGTTGGCACGAGCAATGGATCTATCCAGTTCTATTTTTGTGAGAAAAAGTGACCATTTGCCTGTCCAGATTAGCGCAATATCAAATAAACTGGTGGAATTTTTGAAGTAAACAAACTTCGGTTAGTCATTTTGTTAAAATTCTTTTGATGTCGTGTTGTTTTCTTTCTTAATCCAACTCTGTGGTATATGAGGTATTTTGTGGACATGCTCGAGGATCCAAGGATGCTCAAGAACTTGATAAAAGGGGATCCTTCTTCGAGGGTCCTTCACAAGTAAATGTTGAAGAAGATCTCTAGCCAGGTCACTGATATTTTCAGGAATATTGAGTTCAACCTTCGTTATTCGACTGTATGTCTCATGCTGACCGGAGGCTTCAAATGGAGGTCGACCGACAAGAAATTCATACATGAGGACTCCTAAACCCCAGATGTCCACAGCTTCATCATGCTGCTGACCTTCAATCATCTCTGGAGCGAGGTAGTCAAGGGTACCACAAAGAGTTTGACGACGTGAATCTGGTGCATATACTGACCAGCCAAAATCAGCTATTTTCAGCTCATTTTTTGCACCTATTAGTAAATTCTCTGGTTTAATATCGCGATGAATCACGTGCTTATGATGGCAGTAGCAGAGAGCATGTGCAAGGGAACAAATGTAATGCGCTGTCTGTTCTTCAGAGAATCTGCCAGACTTTTGAAGAAGCTTATAAAGTTCTCCTCCAGGAGCGTATTCTAGGATGAGGTATACTCGGCTCTTATCGTAAAAATAACCAAAAAGTCGTAGAATATTTGGATGTCGGAGATGACTTTGAATTTCAGTTTCCCTTCGAAGTTGATATTCTACTCCAGCAGCGGCCAATTGATTTTTAAACAAAACTTTAAGAGCAACGACAAATTCTGTCTTCTTTTCTCTTGCCAAATACACATTTCCAAACTTGCCTCTTCCTAAAGGCTTTCCTATATCGAAATCATTTAATGACCAAGTCCTGTCGGAAGGGTTATTTCCAGAACAATATCGAACTTGTGGTTGCCTATCAACAGTAGCTTGGTTGCTTGAACTCTCCTTCAAACTGTTTGTCTCATTTTTACTGAATCCTGTGCTTTCTAGCTGTTTTGGTTTGCTATCAGCTACTGTTTCTTTGGAACTACGAGGATTAGTTTGCAAGTCCTCATCCTCTTTAGTTGCATACTCTACGCGACGGTATTAGTTCATTTGTCGAACGACTTGCAAGCCAATTCAATACCTTGATGAATAAGGGATACTTCTTGCACATTGTCCCCCTCCTTCATTATCTCAACTTTTACTTCTTCCGTCTTTTGGTTCGAGTTTGCTCGAGAACTTCTCTTTTCCACTTCCAAATTCTTTCTCGTCAACGGTGTTACCGAACATGAAGAATCCAAACCCTTTCTTGGTTCCGAATTAGATAAACAGTATTCTAGATGAGTATCTTGAGTCCTAGAAAATTTCAATCTTCCAGTGTTTACATACTATTTTCAAGACTGTTCTGTTGACATAGTGTTCCAACTTGCACTGTATTCTCCTTGTCTTCTAACCTCTTATAACTTTCATGTTCAACATTAAGGTCACCGGTAGAATTTATATATCCATAGTCTACGTTGTTTTGCTTTCCTGGTTGCATAAGGGAGTTACTTGTTCTTCGGTTTAAGAGACACTGTCAGTCGCAAATTTCAAATGGCTACGGCTAATTCCCACCAAATTATGAATTTAAATTTTAATCTTCCTGTTGAGATGGCAACACAATAATTGTCAAAATTCTATGCAGCATAACAGAAAATAGTGGAACTCCTCTAGTTAGAAAAACTTAGTCACTCGGTTCAGAATTTTTAGCTTCCCCACAATAAATTATGTGAACCGAGTTGTGCAATAGGAAATTCTGTAAAACGTGTGGCAACTATCCACTTTAAGAGCATCGACAACACTGTCGAGAGTTGTTGATTCCAAATGACTCGTGGTTGTATTTGAAACGATGGAAATTTGCCCAAGCTCAACAAGTCCAACGAAATATAGACGGTTCATTGAAGCGTGGAAGAGATTGTTCGTACTCTCTGCATCCAAAATATGTATTATGAAGCAACACTGCACATAACAAAATCAAAATAGAATAAAACAATGAGTTTGAAAATGTTGTCTAAAAATAAAACGCTTTCTAAGAGGTACTCTTTATTATAGTTTAAATGTAGAAAAATACTGCTTCCTCAATCACTTTGGTTGAAGAAAAACAGCATATACCACTAAATAAATGGCGATTATGCTGCGTTACAGCAACCTATAAGAGGGAATCATGAGCCAAAACCGTTGTTAAAAAGAAAATTATTAAAGTGGTGATGAGACATACTTCAGTCATGAAATATAAAGTAAAAGAAGTGTCATAAAAGTTGCTTTCAGCGCTATCCAACAGTGTCGATACACGAGATGAGCGTAACCTCCTCTATTTCTGTCTCAACTTGAGAAGAATAAGAGTCGTTGTTCGGTGAAAACTGAAAAACATAGCCTTGAAAGTAATACCCGATATAAGAAACGTTTTGAGTCGGCCTTCATCTCTCCAAAAGTTCACAACAATGCGAAAGCTACAAAAATATATATGGAAGTCAGAGCCAAGTCTCGGAGCTGCCCGAAAACATTATGATAACTGGCTTTAGTTTATGTATCAATAGCTATAATGTTATGAACAGACTTTTTTCATTTTCCACTTATACAAGAATTAGTAGTCGCTCTGGTGACAGACTCTTAAACTGCGTCACTTGCTCTGATAAATAAAACGATTTCATCTTATTATACACATGTGTTCCAAATCTACACAAAAGAGAACTAGCTGTCGCTGTTTTCTCAACAATACCAGGAAATCAAACGAACAGAATCTTCGACAAGTCTTTATGCTTGGCTAGTATGCAGAAAACAAACTTTGCAAGTCACTGTCTATAGCATCACTGCTTCACAGCATCGAAGGATTTACATCTTCCTATCGGTTATCTCATCTAGGAAAGCTGTAAAAAGGCTTCAAGAATACAACGTTTTCGAGATACTCTCTCTAGCAAGCTCACATTGCAATCTTTCAAGAAAATGATCCTTTCATGTGCTGATATATGCTTGCGTCACGTGACGAAACAGAAGGTCGCACTTTCTTCAAAGCTTTCTCAAAATGCTCAGCTTTCACTTGCAAGAATGTCTCATCTACTCCAGTGCTGCGCAATGATTCTGTCGCTGCTTCTCGCACAAGAGCTGACAAATCTGCTCCACTAAATCCTTCTGTATGAACATGAAATGCAATGTTTTCAAGGGAAACGTCGTCAGCTAGCGGCATTTTACGCGTAAGTGTTTCTAAAATAGCTTTACGACCATATTTGTCGGGCAGCGGAACGAACAACAATTTATCTAAACGACCAGGTCTCAACATGGCAGGATCAATCATATCCGGACGATTAGTAGCAGCAATAACGAAAACTTGGCTTCTTGCTTCTACACCATCAAGCTCTGTTAAAAGCTGATTTACAACTCTTTCTGAAGCACCAGATGAACTCCCAAAACTTTCTGAATCTGTATAAGAGGCGAAACCTCCACGTCTCGGAGCCAGCGCATCTAGTTCATCAAAAAAAATAATACAGGGAGCTGAGGCTCTACCTCGTTGAAATACTCTGCGAACTGCTCTCTCGCTTTCTCCAACATATTTGTTAAGAAGCTCTGGTCCTTTTATTGAAATAAAGTTCGCACCACTTTCACGAGCAATGGCTTTGGCCAATAAAGTCTTTCCACAACCGGGTGGTCCATAAAGCAAAACTCCAGCTGGTCGACTCAAACCTAAGGCTTCAAACCTTTCAGGGTGGTGAATAGGTTCTAAAACAGACATTTCAAGTTCTTCACGTATGTTATCCAAAGAACCAATATCACTCCAACTCGTATCAGGAACAGTTGTAAATCCTTCTCTTAGAGCACTGGGTTGGGTTTTTTCTAACGCTACCTCGAAGTCCTCTAACTTGATTAAAATTGTTTCAAATTTGACGTCAGATATTGGAACGAAATTATCGTCCATTGAGTAATCACAGTTCACTATTGAATCCCTTTGGAATCTCGCTACAGCTGCAGTGGCAGCAGTTGTTATTAAAGACGCCAGATCTGCGCCGACATAACCAGCAGTTCTCTTCGAGATGTACGAATAGTCTAACTGTGAGTCGACAGAAAGGTTTCTACACAGAGACCTTAAAATTTGGTCTCTTCCTCTTTCATTTGGGGCACCCAACTCAAGCTCGCGATCAAACCTACCGGCTCTCCTCAAAGATGGGTCGAGTGTATCAGGTCTACTCGTTGCTCCTAAAATAATAACTGGATATACAGAGAAGTCTGTGCTGCTTAATGTATCCATACACGATAGAAACTGTGCCACAATTCTTCTCTCCATATCCTTACTAGCGCTTTCACGTTTCGAAGATATTGCATCGACTTCATCAATAAACAGAATACAAGGAGCCAACTGCTTCGATTCTTCAAATAGGAGACGCAGTCTCTCTTCAGATTCTCCAGAAAGACCACCAACTATCTTCAGGAATGTTACTTAAACTGTCAAATAAAAAGATTCAAAAGTTCTAACCTCTGGAGCGGAAACTCTAACAAGTGGTACTCCATATTCTCCTGCCAGTACTTGTGCCAAAAGTGTCTTGCCACAACCTGAAGGACCGTGAATTAGTACCCCTTTTGGGGGGTCCACTCCCAATCGACGATATAGTTCTGGTTGTCTTAGAGGCCACTCGACTAGTTCCCTGAGAACACTTTCTAGCAATTCTATGCCACCAAAATCTTCAAAACTCTTCCTGGGATACTCAATCAACAAGCTTTTAGTGAAATTATTTGAGTTTGGTTTGTTCTTCTCTATGCATTTTCTTCTCTTTGTGTCCAAAGGTTGATATGGCAACTCAACTTGTTTTCCTTTATATGGATAAGCGAAATGAGGACATAAACCATCATTTCTTCCTTCGTTTGAGTGCTGCTCTGATTCTATCCTCGTGCCAATCTTGTAACCAAGTGAAGAAAGCATTTTCTCGACCAATAGACGCTTTGCCCTATTTGTTTTTCTTGCAAACCCAATAACGTTGGCTTCTACCGCGTCGATTAACTTCAGTAGCTCTAGTTCTGTTACGATCTTCTGAGAAGTAGATTCCACTATCTGACCAAGTCTTTGTTCTATGACTCCACGGACGGTGAGGGAAGCCATGGGCCTTGTGAATGAATCCAACCTCGGGACTGGAACGATTCGTCCTCATCGAGAAGTGTAAGAATCAAATTTCATAAAATATGAAAAGATAATGAGCAATTCATGGAATAGCTTATTCTCTATTCTGTCAGAGAAAGGCACAATTTGCACTTCACATGAGACATCTGTACTGTCTATTTTCTTATTGGCTGCATCGAAGTAGTTATGAAAGTTTTTGACTTGTTATACTTTAAAATGCTGTTAGCAGTCTTCAATTTGTGGTACTCACTCAGTTTAAAACTAGTCATGAAGTTTTTGAGAGAAATGAGTAATCAATCACAAATAATAGGATCTCAAAGAAAATTTAATTTCTCTCTTGCCAAGTCAATTCTTTAATACTTGCTGAATGATGAGCAAGTTCATAAAATTATTGCACCGACTAAGACGCTGTCAATGTCGAGTACTTAGTCCCTCTGTACAAATTAGCTCCAGCATTAGTTGGCAAAGGTTTTGTAATAGAGTGTACCAACTTGGCACAGCTCACCAGGTTGACTTCTGTACATACTCGAAAAAGGCTGTACTCGATCCTGGAGAGGAAGTTGAACAACTCCTTTTAGACCTAGACAATCTGAGTGTTGAACAAAAACAAAATGCCTTTGTTCTTGCCTCTAAGTCAGCTGAGCTGGGGAGCTCAAAAGGAAAGGTTGTTGGCTTTTAAACAATTTCGTGAAAATTGACGACGGCTAGCTATTGATGGGTTGTCTTCTTCGTTGTGGTATAGGAACGGAACAGGATGAGAAGAAAGCTATGAAAGTTCTAGAGCCTCTAGCTGAAGCGGGAGATGCATATGCTTCGTTTTTGTGTGGGGATATCTTGGAACAGGTATTTCCTTGTGTTTGACTTGTTGAAGTTTCTGAGAGTTGTGCAAGTTTTATGAAGAGACGTTATCTGCAGCTTCTTTTACTCAGGAATTAGGGCAAAGTAACAGTATAAATGTTACTTTGAACAACGAGAGGCCTGAAAAGGAAGGAACTTTAAAGAAGGGTAATTGTTATATTGTGCTAAGCAAAGAGTAGTTTTCTTTACCTTTTGAACTAATAGCTATAAGATATTACGAGAAGAGTGTAAGTAGTGGAAATCTTGATTCTCTCGTTGCGTTGGGCAATGCTTGGTTAAAGATGCAGCATCCTGAAAGGGCCAAGGAAGCTTATGTAAAAGCAGCTGAGAAGGGTATCGTTTCTTCTTTCCTATGTTTAGGTAACCTTTATTTCCGTGGTTATATTGGCAAATATTCTTCGGTTAGTTTTCTTTCTTTGTCACTGTTGGTTGTTTATGAAGACAATGTGTTTCAGGTTAGTCGAGACGGAATTAAGGCTTCCAAGTATTTGACAGCCGCTGCCGAAGAAGGAAGTATCGAGGCAAAATACCTTCTCGGTGAGCTATATGCTTCGGGCTTGGAGCCTATCGAACCCGATGAATCCTCGGCGTTAAGGTAAATGTGCCTTGTTTATGTTATTGGAGACTGTTATCCATTCTGATATTTTCAGATATCTTGAAAGTGCTGCGGAACAGAATCACAGTGAAGCCTGCTATTTGTTGGCAAAGATTTTGCTAGAAAAGGAAGAGTTAGATCCTGGTTCAGTCAATATGGAAAAGATATTAAAGTAAGAACTTTACTTGTGGTGATTGCTTAGATACAATTGTATTTAGATTTCTTTTGGTTGCTGCGGAGCAAAATCACGCTGGTGCCTGTTACTTTTTGGCAGATCTTTACTACAAGGCTGGTTCCAGTACTTCAAACAACGGTTTGGAAAATTATCAACACGCGTTGACGTACTTTGAAAGAAGTGGTGCTTCAGTAAGTTATTCTAGTTTTATATTTCCTGCTATCAACGTGCTTTAAAGGGACTCTCTGAAGGCTACTATATGGCTGCTCTTATGTACCTTCATGGTATTCTCTTTCTTAAGAATTCTCTGAACTTTATCTTAAAATATAACTAGGTGTGGGAACAAAAGTTAACATAAAAGTCGGTATAGATTTATTGAATCAGGCAGCAGAGATGGGTCACACGGTGGCCCTTGAGAAACTTAGGTAACTAAGGGTTTTCAATTAGCATCATTATTCTTTTATGGTTGCATTGTAGTGAGTGTTATCGTTATGGACAGTTTGGTTTGGAAAAGTGCGAAAAAAGGGCTGACTCGCTTAAGAAAACTGCGTCTCTACTTGAAGAAAGGTAAGTTGTAGTACACTATTTTGTCATATGCGTGAACTTGGTAGAAGGAAAAGAGAGATCACAGATTTTTTGCAGAATTCGCCGTCAGCATCGAAGAAAGTTTCTCCAAACAGAGGAATATATCCCAAACCGCAGCCAAATGGAAACTTACAAAAGTGCGAAAAAGTGCCCAGATAAAAGTCTTTAGAGAAATGTACACATCTATAGAAAAACACAGGTCAGCTTTCACTTGGGTTCCTTTCTTACTATTGAAAGCCCGATAAAGATTTGTAAAGTGTACTTATTTTTTGTGCGAACTGTTGGAAATAAATAAAGTTTCGAGAAAGAAAAAGGAGAACAATCGTAAATCTTATCTATTTTGCTTCGAGTACCAGAAGCTAAGGCACCGCCCTCTTGTTTAATGCAAAGTAAGTTCAGAATTGGTCATTTCTCGTGAATATTAGACGAGATATATACCCATTACTCACAAAGGCGCTCTTTATACTAATCTTTGGTATAAAGAATCGAGTCAACACCAGAGTCGATCTTACAACAATAGAAATGGCCATGAAAGCGAATTTATCCGATTGTGTGAATTTTCTTCCAAAACACAATTAGAAACTGCAAAGCTACAGAGTCTGAAACATTGTTGAACTTGGATACTGAAAGGTTGGCCTTAAGCATACACGACATACTGTTAGTTCAAATAATTCTATCAACTCGATTTCAACTTTATTATTTTCACTGACAAAGACAAGCTATGAATCATTGAATGCTCATTGCAATATTCACAGAACCGTTTCATTCTCTGGGGTGAAAAATAAAGTCGTATTTATAGTCAAGTTTAATATCTACAATTACTCTTTTAAGATTAATTTCTCACAACAAAAGTAACCGATTGGGAACTTTATTGGATCCTTAATTAGCACTGCTGGAGAAATGCATAGTGTTCTGCGGTAGCCTATGGAAAAGGACAAGATTTGGTATCAGAGTTTAGAAGGAAACACTGTAGGACCAGTAACATTTGAAGACCTCAGGGACTTGGTCGAACGTGGAGAAATTGATGGGTTGACGAGGATCTTTTTAGAAGCACTGGATAGGTGGACAGTAGTGTCAGAAGAACCAGAATTGAGAGAGTTGGTGGAGTTGATTGCAAGTAGAGAGGATGATAGTGTAAAAGCAAGTGAAGCGAGCCTAGCTAATAATGCAGCTCTTGAAGACGTACTGAACGACAACATTGGTGAACCAAACTTGGAGAGAAGCAATACTTCTTCAAAGAAAAAGTTAACACTCGAGGATTTGAAAAAGAAAGAAAGAAAAAGGTTAAAACGGGCAGAGCAGAAAAAGAAGGTATGTTTGAACATTCTTTTTATGCTTGTTGTGATAGTTTAAGAGTTTTGTAGAAGAGAGAACGTTGGAACGAGGAAGTTGCCAAAAACAATACTAGTGTATACTTTACTGGTATTCCATCAGATGCAACTGAAGAAGAAGTCGTTGAATTCTTTTCCAAGTGTGGCATCTTGAAAGTTGATGCGTATTCTGGAAAGGCAAAGGTCAAGTTGTATAGGGACAAGCTCGGTTACCTGAAGGGCGATGGAGTTGTTACATATGCTTTACAACCTTCGGTCGAAAACGCTTTCAAGGTTCTTGATCAAACCGAGTTTCGTTTCGGAACAGGGACTCGAATTCACCTAGAACCTGCTCGCTTTGAGTTGAAAGGGGAAGATTTCATACCGAGGAAGGTTCCAGTAAGTAGAAGGTTTTAACAACTCTTTGTGATATAACGCCTTCTTTAGAATACTGGGAAACCCTTATTTTCAACGAAACAGTTAATAGAACAGAAAACCAGTTGGAACGATGGTGTAGATGATGGACGTGGACTAAGAATTGTTATTTTGAAGAAGGTTTTTGAGCCGAAAGAAGCTTTGACCGATCCTCATTATTATGAGGTATGAAACTTTGTATTTGCTCTTATAGAGCTATTGTTGACAGAGATAAAGGACATTCGTAAAGATATGTTAGAGGAGTGTTCAAAGCTTGGAGAAATAGAGAAGGTAATGTATTAGGCAATATTATGAGGAAGAGTCTCAAGAAAGTTTTGTCTCAGTTGACAGTATTTGAGAGAAATCCTGAGGGTGTGGTTGCAGTACGTTTTCGCTCTCCTGCTGCAGCGGAGTCGTAAGTTTTTTTGAAATATGTTTGTTTTTTTTTCAATATTTTTAGTTGTATTGAGCTTATGACTGGTCGTTGGTATGGTGGACGGCAATTGGAAGCTGAATTTTATGACGGAAAGACAGATTACCGTTATAAGGAAACGGAAGAAGAAAGAAAAGAGCGTATAAAGGTAAAACTCATAATTATATTCATATCTGCATATGAATTTTGGTTTCAGAAATTCGAGGAATGGCTAGGCGAGGATGAAACTGCAGACGATGGTGGAGTTTCATTTCTAGACGCCTATTGAACTGCATTTGTATCTTTTTGGTCAGTGTTTGAAGAGCAAACGTTAAGTGAATCAATCTTACGCTGAGCAGTTGCAAATAAAAATTACAAATGAGTACACTATCATTTAAGCTTCCAAGGAAGCGTTCTTCAAGTCAAACAACGCTTATAAACAACAAGGCCTTTAGAGTGGAAGATAGAGAGGATGAATTTGAGGAAGAAACTCAAGAACTTAGATTAAAGTGGTCAAGTAAGCAGGGGCAACTGGCGCAAACTACTCAAGAATCCTCTGATGACCCAAACGCCTTTGCATACGATGAAGTGTATGAACAACTACAGAATAATGAAACGTAAGTTATGTAATTTACTAGATGACTCTTAGTTTATTTTGCTCCAACTAGGTTCTCGTTGGATAACTTGCAAAAGAATAGGGAAAGAAAAAGTCGATATCTTGCTGCTCTGAAGACAAGAGCGGAAGAAAGAAAGATGGAACAAGAACTGCTTGAAGAAAGACTGAGTTTCAAGGAAAGAGAAAAGGAAGTAAGAATAACTCGAGACTTTAGAGTTGTAACTTTCTCACGGCAAATCATAGGAAAAAGAAGGTGAATTTAAGGATAAAGAAAAATTCATTACTTTTGCATATAAGGAGAAAATGAGAAGATTGAAAGAATGGGAACAACAACAACAGCAGCGACAAGCTTCCGATGGAACCCAAGGTGGAACAGTTCAGGCAAACATGTCAAGATTTTACTGCAACCTTTTAACAAACAATGTGGCTTTGGGCTTAACAGATAGGGAACCTCAGGAAGACAGGATAAGACTTTCACAGGAAAAGATTGTCGAACAAACTGAAGTGGAAGGATCTGGACAACCGCCGAGAGAGGATGAAGAAAGCGAGAAAATCGAACAACAACGGAAAAAGGCACTGTTTGGAGAACCTGAGAAGCGACCGGGTGGTTTGTTTATTCCTTCCGTGAAGAATGTTAGTCCCATAGAAAGTGATAAGAAAAGCACTGTATCGATGGAGACTTCTCAAGTAAGTAATACTGTAACAAGGGAACGAAAGGATGACGAGAGCGTGAGAAAAGCTCGAGAAAGATATTTGGCAAGGAAACAGGAACGACTTGCGAGTAACTTGCAGAACTGAAACTTAACTACTGTTAACTGAAGCTTTCTGGATAGTTTCAGTTTATGTTGTTTGAATTTTACTTTTCGGTTTTCCTTTTTGAACGTTTACCTTTCTACTCTTATGCTGGTTCTTTTGACGAGTCCTTTTGCTCCGGTTTGGCTTCATTTCAGGCAAACTCAGAGTCTCTTGTCCTTCACTCTTCTGCACAGGCCTTCCTGGGTTCTTCCATTCTAAGTTACTCAGTTCGCGTTGAACTTCTTGTTCCTGTTGGTCAGGAAGCTCAATAGAACTCAGTGAATCACCTGTTTTTGGACTGACTGGTGTCGAAATATTTCGAAGCGCAAGTTCCCTCACTTTCTCTTGAAATATCTTTTTATGGCGCCTACTGTACAGTTTAGACTCATATTTTTATAATAAACTTTGACGAACCGAGTCTTCTGGAATTTTGTTTTGCTCTCTTCTTCTGAAGTGACGTCTTCTTCTTTGAGAAGTGAACTGTTCTTTGAAGTCGACTCTCGACGGCTCTTCTGGATCCTTTTTCTGAGGGCAAGTTGCACCCTAACTAGCTTTTTTAGCGTTATTTAACTGTAATTCAACTACAAGACTCACTTCAAGTCGAAGGAATTCGACGAAGTTGCGGCATTGTTAGAAAAGGAACCAAGGCCTCTTCTCTTGTGAACCTGAGTTCCATCAACTCTTCCCAAACTTTCCAAAAGATGATCACAGACAACGTTTTGCCTTTGTTCGCTCTTTTCTCTGAGTTCTAGACCTTTTTGCCTCGCTAAGAACTCTTTGACTTTGGATGCCGCATGATTTGTCACTAACATAAAGAATTATAAATGAAAATGGTAACTTTCTATTGCAAGGGAGTTTTGAATATCAGTTCGACCGAAACTAAGAAACTAGGGAAGAACTGCAACTAATGCTCAAGTTCATATGCAACCTTTGAAGTTCTTGGCACTTGTTAACGTTTTCAGTTTTACAGAAAAAAATTGCTCCAAGAGCAAACCAGAACTGTGGAGAAAGTTGGTTAACAGTTGAACCTCAAAAGAAAGAGATCTTTGAGTTTATTATTTTGTTTTTCCTATCAGCTATTTTAAAGCGGGTTTCTGATTACTTTGGTTCGGAACACAAGCGTTCCCTTGCTAGTCTAATATTTTGTATAGTTAACGAGATAACTCGAAAGGTGCTTAGTAAGAAACATGCAAGTGAACGCTACTCGTACAACTTATAATCAAGAACAGCATACAGTCATTGATCTAACCATTCATCGAGTTCCGAAAAGGCTATTCAGAAGGCTTGTGAGAAAACTACGAAGAGATAGAGAAAGGTGACTTTCACTTGTTGGCTTCCAATCTACGTTTGCAACATCATATGTTTCAGAAAGCTTCGAAGAAAACTAACGTGTGGATGGTCTAAATATGAAGACTTTTCCAATATCTATTCAAAAGGCAGTTACATCGAAAGCACTGTGGTTACGGACTTTGACTGAAGTTCTCCATCCACTATGACTAAAGCTTTTAAAGTTTCGCATTTACAGTGAAATCACAAGACTCACTCAACTAACAGAACACAAGTCCATATGAACTTTCAAACTCCATCTCTGAATAGGAATATTTTCCTATGTTGATTCCTCAACACAAGTTCAACTAATATACAAATGATTTCTACACTTCTACACCTTTCGAACGCAAAAACTTTTTTGCCTTGGCTAAATCTTTCTCCAACTCAGCGAACGCGTCAGGCCGATCAGGGAAAGTTGACAGTCCATACAAAATTCTTAGAACAAAGTAAAGAAAGACGGCCACAAACAACGAACCAGCAATCTGCAATTTTTTTAGAAGAATATAACAAAAGAAAGAAACTTCAACTTACGTATAGAACTTGTTGTAAACCACGAGGCTCATACCCAATTTCCATTTGGCTTAAGACTGAGAATGGTTAGATTTTTTCTGAAAGTCTTCAAACCTTGATTTGTTACGTTCCTATCATACCAAATAAAAAATTGCATCTTTCCATACTTTTCTTAGTCTTGCCTTTCTTCAACATCATTTTCAAATTGTATAGTATGGGATATATTCTCCCTATGGCATCTCCGATGACTGAGCTAGAGAGACAAAAGAGAAGAATCCTCGTTATATGACTTTGTTTTCATCTTTCTTGATGCACAAGGAGAACATTGAGTCTTTCATCAGACAAAATAATATAAATTATGGAAAATAACAATCATCTGCCTTTGCACAACTTGATAACTTCCTCTTTGTTTTACGCACGGAAAACTTGTGGACTTGAAATTTGGATTGTTCATCATCTGCATGTTTCAGCGGAGCGTGGTCACTTCGAACCCAAAGCGCACAAACTGTTTAATAGCGGTATTTGCCACTAATGTATACTTGAGCTCTCTCAAAGAACATAAAAGAGTCGTATGCCGGACCTGTTATTCAAAGCTACCCACTGAAGGGCTAGGAAAGAGGATGAGATGGTCTACCATTTCCACTTTATATGAGGGTAGCCTTTATAAAGTAATTGCAGACAATTTGAACAGAAGGAAGTTTGGGTTGCGTTTCTGGTTTAGTCTTCGGAATTGTTCTTTCTGTATGAAAAAAGTTACATTTCGTCGAAACGGGAAGCTACGCGCAGACTGTCTGGAAGCAAGGAAGAAGAATGCCAAGGGGGGACGGATTGACGATTCTTTTGTTTATGTGCCTTTCACCCAACTGAAGGAAACAAGCAATACCTTTGAAAATATTGTTTCAACTTATTCCACTGAACAGACGGGAGAACAAGCAGACGAGTCTTACGTGAGACGAGGAGACAGTTTTCCCGACGATGGGAGGAGTTGCTATAAGCCTTCTTGTGATGTGAACTGTAAAAATTATAAATTTTTCTACTCACACAATAAGAAGTTGAACGCTAATCTTGATGAAACAAATGAGAGTATAGTATCAACTGGAGACTCACTAAATTCAACTTCGGAAGCTCTAGCCTATTACTTTATTGATCTATCTCCGAAACTTGATTACTTAAGTTCTATAGATCGAACAAGTATTTTAGCAGCACTTGAATTCGCTTATGAGGCTCATAAAGGTCAGTTTAGAAAGTCAGGAGAGCCTTTTATCATACACCCAATTGCTGTAGCTGCAATCTTGGCTGATTTGAAAGTTGATAGAGATACAGTCATATCAGGCTTGTTACATGATACAGTGGAAGACACATCAGGTAAGCAACAGATAGGGTTGGAAGCATAGTCTCATATGTCATACAGTAACTTTTGAAACAATTGAAACGATTTTTGGGAAGGATGTTCGCCGTATTGTTGAAGGCGAAACGAAATTCTCTAAACTTACTTCAACGATAGGAGCTTCGCTCGATAAGAAGGAAAACAGAATACAGAATGGGTCACTTTCAGATCTTGACAGGATAAGACGCTATTCTCAAGACGTTGATTACAATTCTTTTTACCTTTCCGGTGCAGATGACAAGCAATGTGAATATCTAAAACACATTTTTATTGCAATGACAGAAGATGTCCGCGTAATTCTTGTGAAACTAGCTGATCGTTTGCACAATATGAGAACTCTCGAATACATGAGCCCCGAAAAACAAAAGAAAATAGCTCGTGAAACTTTGGAAATATTTGCTCCGCTTGCACATCGACTGGGTTTGGGTAGAATACGAGTTGAATTAGAAGATATCTCCTTTCGTTTTTATTATCCTAAGAAATTTCTCAAAGTATTGTCTCAGTTATCGATCTTTAAAGCAAATAACAAAGTGGATCTTTGTCTGGATGAAGCTCGAATTTGTTTAAAACAACTTTTGGAGCAAGACCTCGTTTTGAAGCCTCTGATTAGAAGGCTTGAAATTGAAGGCCATACAAAACCTTTATACACAATATATAAGAAAATGCAATCTGGAGCTAGTTTGGATGGTATTTATGATTTGGCCAGTATAAGGATAGTGGTTGAGCTGAAGAAAGATATTGTTGATCAGTGGAAACGTGAGGAGCGCAAGTCTAGTTGTGGACAGAGAGACCCAACAGCACAGTGGAATTGGTTGGAAATCTTAAAGAGTTCAGAGAGAATAGAGGAGGACTTTGCACAGATCAGTACGGCATCGTTTTACGAAAGAAATGTTTGTTATCACATTTTAGGTAGCATTCATTCTTTGTGGAAACCAATTCCTGGCAAATTGAAAGATTACATTGCATTTCCAAAGCCCAACGGTTATCAGTCATTACATACAGTAATACTCTTTGATTCTAAGTATGGTTCATTGCCCTTGGAAATACAAATAAGAACGCAAACAATGGATGAGATAGCAGAACTAGGAATAACTTGTCGTTTTTTCCTGGATTCCAATGAAGGCGAAAAAACTTGTATAGATTGGCGAAGAAGGACAATTGCCTGGTTAAAGTCACTTAGAGATTATTGTGACGAGTTTTCATACTCTAGTACTGATTTGATTGACGCAGTTAGAAAAGACTTACTTGGCCATCGTATCTTTGTTTTTACTCCGAAAGGTTACATTCTCGATTTGCCAAAAGGATCTACTCCAATAGATGCAGCCTATCATATTCATTCAGACTTGGGACACAGTATGATTGGCGCGAGGGTTAACGGAAGGTTCGTTCGTCTAGACCATGTCCTTCAAAATGCGGACGTAATCAAAATCGTCAAGGGTGACTCTGCTACTGGTCCTAAACCAGATTGGATTCATATGGCTCGAAGTAGAACTGCCAGACAAAAAATTAGGCGATACCTTCGTCAAAGAGAAAGGATAGAGCTTATTCATAAAGGAAAAGAAGAATTGGAGCAAATGTGCCGAGAGATGAACTTGATACTTCCTTCGTCTTCTGAAATACTATGTGGTCTTCAAAAATTATTACATTTAAGCAAGAAGCGAATAACTTTGAGAACAAAAAATTCAAGCAATGCCAGTTCACTTGTCCAGTGGTTGGAGTCCTTGAAAAGCTGTGATGAATTTTACATTTCTGTTGCCAAAACTTTAGGAGACCCGACAGGAGAGCTTCGGATGGACTGGTTGAGACTTATTCTGAGATTCCTTCATATTCGAACTCAGTCAACAAGTCATGACCACGGAGCTTCTCCAGGAACTATCAATTTGTCTAAATACAAGATAGGGGCGGCCTCAACAATAACATCGAACCAAGACATGAACTCTAGCAGTTCTCATCGACAAAAAGTTGAGTGGAAACCAAAAATATTTGTGTCAAGATGCTGTCTACCTGTAATCGGTGATGAGATTGTTGGAGTCCTTGTAGATGGTGACACGTTAATGTTGCATCGGAAGGACTGCTCTTCAACGAGTTCCCAAAGAGACTCTTCTGCATTCTTTCATCTTGCCTGGAAAAATTTGTCTAATTGTCTTCATTACTCAAAATTGGAGACCAATAATCATTTAAATAACAGTTTATTTCCTACGAGACTGGTCATCAAAGCCAAAGACACTGTTGGTCTTCTTTCGTCAATTGCTGGAGCCATAAGTCAACAAGGTTTTTCTATCACACGCTCAGCAAGTAACTGTGAAGATGGAACAGAATTGGCAACTTTGTTCTTTGAAGTCCTTGTCGGGCACGTAAATGACATAGTCTCTATAACTGCTTTACTAAGGAGTTACACAGAAGTGTTTGACGTTCAGCGAGTTATTGACGTCCAATGTTTGAAATGGTGTGTTTCTAATACATACACTGATCGAAACTTGCAGATGCCAGCCGAATTGCTTGAGCTTCCGGATGACATATTGAAGCCATCTCATTGACTGCTCGTAGTTTTGTATGTTGTATGATGACTAATTTTAACTTCAAGGTGAATTACATTTTAAAAAGTATTTGTCTATAGTCTCATGAGAAACAGCTTTTTGGCTTCCAACATATGGGTGACGACATTCACATATATGTTGTTTTAGAACTTTCATGTTCTTAAAGTTTTCTTTGCATCGATGACAAAATAAAGGCTGTTTCAACAAATTCAAATACTTCTCTTTGTTATTCACCGTGATGAGCTTACGACCAGCTCCAACTTCTTCCAGAACATTTGACACTGGTAGAAAGAAGTCAGTGTGGAAAGAGTTCCAATGTTTTCGAGTTTTCAAAAAGGGTGAGACAAAGTCCGTTGATATTATATGCATGTGCAGTTGGTCCATACTGGGAATCGAGTGAAACCCCAACATAAACGTTTGCTCTTCCTGATTTGGCAAGTACTTTTGAGTTAGGCAAGTTGATATTTCTTTGCCTATTTTAAGCATATGTCGTAATAAGCTGATATGAGAAAGCGTTAGAGAGCCAACGTCCGGGATGTACCGTCTTGGAAGTAAAAGAAGGTGAAAGCGTGACTTTGGAAAACCATCGTAGACAACCACTACTTCCTCGTCGGAGAAATATATACTTGGACTAAACTGAGATGGGTTGGAAGCTATTGCTTTGAGTACATTTCGCTCTCCATCTTGAATGGATACGGAACTATTATCGTAGGCTGGATATTCCTTCATCATTCAACTTAGAGACACGGAACGTCGTTTATGTGAGATTCCATTTGTTGTTTGCTTTTATTTGTCAATTCAATTGCAATCTATTAAGACTAATATTACCGGAAGGTCATAAACAGGACCCAAGTCAAGAGAAACAGTTCATATAAAACACACAGGCAACTATAGCTAGTTAGATTTGCAACGGCTGAAAGTCTGCATCGATGAGAATAAACTCAGAGTCAGACTGTGAATATCTGTCTTCAGAAGAGTCGGAGAAACCATCCGAACCAGCAAAGTCCTGTGATTGTTCGCCATTGATATGTTCATGGTTTTCACTATCAGTGTATATCCCCGGACCTGCAAAGTTCAAGTCAATATCTTCTTCTCTTAAACTAGTTTGTCCTCTTTGGGACATAATACGTTTGACTAAATCTTCAGCATATTTTTTGAAGGCAACGCATTCATCGCCATCAACATTTCTTCTTGGAGAGCATCTTTCGAACTGTTCTACTGAGGCCCAATCCAACGCAGCATCTATTACACTTTCTGTGTGATAAACCACTGAAGGCAATACATTCTCAATTGATGCATATGAATCATTGGAAACATTGTTTTCTTTCATGTTGTGAAACTTATCACGAAATTTCCTTCTTTTTGGTAGCAAGGCCCTTCCAATCTTGGTCTTCTTCTCTACCTGTAGATGATCGAATGCAAAATTTCGAACAACTACAGCCAGCTTTTTGCATATGTCAACCAAATCTTCAAGCTGTTTTAATGAAGGAAAATCTTGGAGGGTTTTAAACTTATTCGGAAATTTCGTCAGTCGATCTATGCCAGCCATTAACACAGCCAAAACACTGCTGATTCTCTTCAAGAAACTTCGTAAAAAGGGAGAAGCAAAAGAAGTTTTGCGTTCAGTCTTGAGTAACTGCAGCATATCATAAATGTAACAGACGGATTCTCGAACAAGATAAAATGGAATATGAAATTCTTTAATCATTCAGTCATATTTAAAGGCAGATAATATAGGAAAGAGTTTCTCACCAAAATTATTGACTCCAGTTAGCCAATATCGTAGAATACCGGAAAAATAGCTGATGAATACTTCCACAACTTCCTCAATAGAAGCATCCAAACAGAAAACATCCTCACTAGGATGCTCGAAATGGATTGATGAAAGTTTCTGAAACTGTTTCTGGGACTCTCTGGATATCAAACTAAAGCTTAGTACTTGAGCGAAAGCAAGCGCAAATTGTGGACTCATAACAGAGACACATGACATTATTTGATATTTTGCTGATACAAAAGAGGACGATTTTTGAATTCGGAAAAACTTTGTAGTATCAGGGGAATACCAACAAAAGCATGAAGTGATACAATTCGGAACTCCATGAAGCACTGTCGAGGAAAGCATCGCATTTTTTACGGGGTATACAGTCTTCACTGAGTCTATATAGAGCTGAAGTATCTTAAGCTTCTACTAAAAGTTGAAGAGACTACTTCACTTTAACAATCAACAACTTACCGCTCTTGGGAATCGACTCAAAGGACTCAATATATCTATTGATAGACAAGCTAACGTGATCTCCTCGCTGGCAAGGAACAACTGCTCTACGAAACAACTGAGTTTCTCTATTGCAGCTTCTACTGCTAAAGTTGAAACTGAATGTCGATGACTAGTACGAACATCCAAGCAATTCCAGCAGAGAGATATCTGGTCATCCAAAAATCTTTCACGTACAACATAACGAAGAATTTGAAGTAGAATAGTCATCCAGTATTGAATTCTTTCAAAGAGAAAAGAAAGCAACGAACAAAACGAATGATCCACAAGCGACCGGGAAGTTGAAATATGTTTTCGCAAAGTAGGCAGTACATCCTGACAATTGCAGATATTTTCGAATAACTTAAAACAGACAGTATCCGGAAAACAAGTTTTTTCTTCTGATTGGAGAGAGGAGTCTTTCAACTCTGTCGTCTCCTCAAAGGAGGAATTCTCGCGACAATCTATCTTTTCTCCTAATTTCTCCCACAAGTATATCGAGAAATTTATCTTTGCTAGGAGGACTTCCAATTCTTCACCAGACATGCTTTCGACCGATTCTATGCTAAATACTGGTAAAATACTAATAGAATGTATATATACTGAAATAGATGGCGTAGTTACAAGTTTCTGTATCTCTTTGAGGTATACTATAGCGTCTCTGGAAAATTTCCTACGTGACTCACTGACAATTGTCGTCATAGCACAAGTCATTGTTTTTAGTTCTTCCATCCTACTTAAGAAGAGATAGTCTGACTCCTGGTCTGAAGCACCGAAGTTCATTTCAGCTGCTTTCATGGAAGTGAATGACTGCGAATATTTTGTTAGGACATTCGATAGGATAATAATTATTACAACGCAAGATGACGCTGCTTCCAGTAATTCATTTTCTTGTACTTCCATATGCTTCGGAGCAGTATTCCTGTCACAAGCAAGTTCGATGAGTAACATGGATACCATTGTCTCAACCAACAACCAGCCACTTGCTTTGTTGGACGGATCATTCAGTCTTGTGTGTATGCTGCGAAGAGCAATAATACTTCGACCTATATCTAACAAGTTGTCAGGATACATTCTCACCATTCTGGTGACATCATAGCGCAATACACCATTCTCTAAGACTACACAATCTGCTGGCAATAAGAAGCGTAAATAGGACGAATGTAGTTTTTGAACCAGACTTAAGGGTAACCTTTCGATGGCATTCGGAAGAAATCTGAGAAACTCTCCGGTATCAGAATGACCTATGCAAGGAGGGATGGCATTGCAGAGAAGATTGACCAAAATATTTGACTCTGTATAGTCAACTGATGGTATGAAGTAGAATGCCAATGCCAGTGCTGCTCGTTTCTCTGCAAAATCTCCAAATAATATTTGCTTTCGAAGCAAAATAAAAATTGAATCTGTCTTGGATGGCCTGAGTCTGTGTAGTCGAGTAAGAAATCGACATAGAACACTAATGATTCTGGGTTCCAAAGTGTGAGGGTGTGCAACCAGATCTTCAATGACATTTAGCGCACTACAAAGACTGTCTGCGAATTCCTCATAATTTGACATTTCATCGATACACAGAGCAGCTGCATATGAAATATCAGTAGCTTGTCTAATAGCACAATTGAGGTCAGAAATCAACTGGGCTCTCAAATCTTTGATCTCCTTAAATATAGTGACAAATATTGTAACTATAGCTCGGGTATTCCTCATTCGTAGAATACAGGTAGCAAACATTCGGAAAGGATTCGAATGGTGCGAGATAATAGGCTTGAAATGTTTGATCAGGACTTGCACAGTCGAATAGCAAATGTTAGGAAGCCTTTGGAGAACGGTTGTAAGAACTTCTAAAGCTGTAGTTTTCGTGCGTAATTTTTGTATTGAACATAAGATAAGACAGAAGTCGAAAACAGTAAATCGAAAGTCATCCGAACTTGTGCCAAGTGCTATTCGTTTCCATGAGTGTAAAAGATTAATACATACGACAGGAGAAACTCGGAAGCAATCGTCTAGAACCTCCCATATTTTGACTAGATTATCTGCTTCCAACGTCTTCATTGCATCTCTGATTTCCATAACAATCCAGTCAAAATCCTTTTTTTCCTTCGTGCGAGAAAGCTGTGACTCTTTTGAAAATGCCAAAAAGTGGAAACTTACTTGAGACCATATCAGAGTGCGGAGCAAGGTCCTTACGACGATTGGCACATCTTGTTCTTCAACAGTATGAAGCGCCCTCACTACTGTTTTACGAACTTCGAACAACAATTTCGGTGCTAATGGTAGCTCTCCAAGAGCAGAAACTATTGGTACAAGAAGATTTCGATCGGAACATAGCAAGTCAGAAAAAGCCTCTATCAAGAGACGTACTTCTTTCTCAGTTCCACAAGTGAGTTGAGAAACTACTGGAGTGGTTTCATAAGGATACATGTACAGGACCTCCACTAGTTTGGGTGTAATCGACGGATGGAGCTGCTTCAAATTTGTAACCAGAAGTCGTAAGACATTCGACACAGAATCAGAAGAAGACCTAGCAGAGTAAAAAGCTCCCACTAAGAATGTAAAACTAACGTACCCGAGAACCTGGTCCAAAAGGTTACAAGCACTAGGCACATCCATCGTTTCAAATATTGATACAATTCGAACTTTTCAGAATTCCCCCGCTAGGCGGAAAGAAATTGAGGGACTTTAGCTATATCGGTTTAGGCGGGAAATTTTGCTGTGTCCGATTCTTTGTTGGAAACTTTATTAGCCCTGTTTAGACGAGTTTGATTTATGAAGGGAAAGTGAAGATTTCAAAAAAGCCCAAGCAATAACATGACAGAAGAAAGAGCACACAAGGAGATAGCAACGTCTTTGAAGGACGAACTTTCGTTGCTTAGCAACACGATAGAGCTGAAAGAAACCACCCTTAACGAAGCTTACAGCCTAGTAGATTGTTTTAATGCAGAGGTGCAGGTTAGTAATACAAACTATTCACATACTTTTTTTTTTACTCTTTGCTAGTTATGTTCATACAAGGGCCTGAGTGAGAACTTGAGAAGCTGGAGTCTAAGTTTTGCCTTGTTTGCCTCTTGGCGACAAAATGACCCTTTAACTTTTAAACAAATGGAGCAGGCTAACTTAGACATCTTTCAACTTCTTTCTGTCTGTAGGAAACTTTCCAATTCCTTTAAAGAATTCGATAATTATGCAGAACTGATTTCAATAGTTTATCGAACACTCAGTCAAGAAACTTTGATTCAACAGAAACTGTACGACATTTTTCCAAAGCTAACAACATCTGTTCGGAAATACAGAGATTTGGACTTCCTCGAGCATTATTCCAACCAGATCTTTGACTTGAGTTGGATTCTCCTTTTATATATGAAAAATCGTTTAAAACAGCAACAGTACATTGACTGCAGTATGGAAACATCGTCCCTTTACAACCTTGCCATCGCAACTTTCTGTATTTTAATTTTAGACAAGGGAAAGAATGAAGGGTCGAACAAACGTCAAAAAATTGTTCATGGAGAAATTTCTTTATGTGAACTTGACTGGACACAAGTTAACGACATATGCCAAATTGCGTCTGCCGTTGATGAAGATGTTATAAAATTCATCCGTATAATAAGAAAACTTGTTCCAAGTGGAGTTTTTTCAATGTTACCCATCAATTCCTTGTCAGTTATTAACGCATGCAGAGAGATGCTTGTTGTCGACTACGAAAGTCTAAGATTGGATGATTTGGGAACTATTTCATTTGACGAGTTACAGATTTTTTGCTCTATTCGAAGTGCTTGTAAAGGAAGCTCCTTGCAACCCGAAAAAGAACTACACGTCTTGGCTTCGTTGGCATCGGGCAGTTTCACTGAGAGTTCTTCTGCACATTACACAAGACTAGAAGAGTTGACCAAGTTGGCGAAACTTTATTTTGGTGATAGTACCAAGTTAGATATTTCCGCAATTACATCCAGTTTGACCGCGACAAAGTGGTTGCGGGATATTACTCGAATGAGACCTGAAGTTTCTTTTGAGCAAAAGGAAGATGATATCGAGTCATCCACTAATTTGAAACGTTTTTGCGACCTTTGTGGTTTGAATACATACAACAACGTTATTGATACTGCGTTTAATATAGTATTTTCTTTCTTCAAGAAGAATCCTTGGTATGGAAACGAAATTTTAGAAGAACGAAAGAAGGAGATTATTGGGCTGTACTTGCATGTTTTAGAGAAAGTACTTTTGACAGAGGAAAGACGTCTTCATAGGCAGAACTTTGGTAGTTTACTGGCGAACGAATATTTGCATCGTTCTCTAATTGCTTGCAGCATAGTAGCTAGCTTAGCTTGCTATGGGTGCCAGGATCGATATTTATTTATATCTGTTTTACGTGGAGTTGACATCAGTCCATTCGAGTATACCAAGTCGATTGGTAGTTTCGTTACTTCCATTGAAGACATTCCACGCAGTGTACAGAAATTTCTTGTAAAAATTGAAGAAATATCTGTAGAAAGCATCTGCTGGCAAGACTCTTCTGTGGTTGATTATCTAGAAAGATCTCTCGGAGAAGTACAGTTTCACGTTTCGTGTTCAGACACTTCTTCTTTTGGTCCATTAGATTTATATGATAGTGCAGTTTCAGAGTCTATTCCCTATTCTGTACTTGTCTTTTTTCGAAAGTTACTCAGGATTGCGAGGGAGAAAGTCCGAGACTTTTGTTTGAGAATGGAAGTTTCGGATGTTTTTGAAGAACTTGTTTTTATTACTGTGAATTACGCATTGACAAGACATTTTAACTTGCTTGTCAACCGCCATGTTGACGTGATAGTTATGTGTGCGTTATATGCGGTCTCGAAGATAACCAAGGAACAACTGAAGTTCAACGACATTGCAGCTTTTTACAGGGACATTTTTCAAAGGAAGGCGAATCACTTATTTGACATTGAAGAAAATTTATCTCGCGTGTATTTAGAAGGGCATCATTATGGAGATATTATTGAATTTTACAATAGAGACTTCATCAAACACTTTCGGAATTTCCTTTTAGAGCATTTAAAAGCGATATTCGAAGAACGAATGAAAGCCCGCAGTGACAAAAATGAGAAGAATCAAGGTGAGCCATCGACACCAGTACGGTCTTTACACTCCAAAACTGGACAGAGTCCTTCTGGTTCAGATTCAGTATTTTATACTCCTTCTCCAAGTGTCCGAACTTCACCTTCGAGGAAGATAGGTAAAGTTACTATTTCACCCATGTCACCAGAGGGCAGAAGACAAATGGCACGGAGGACTCCAATGACCCCCAAAACAAAGTCATTATATGCTTTTGGAGAGTCTCCTAGTGGTAGTACAGTACGTAATTCGAAGTCGCTCAGTAGTGAAACTGGAGTCTCAGGAATCGATGAGAATTTGCAAGGTGCAAAGCCGTTATCTTTTAACTGTGGCGCTTTTGGTAGATATAATAGTTTAGTTCCTATCCTGATCACATCCGAAGGAAGACCTCCTCTCCCTCCTCAGGAACGAGGGTCTTCTTAAAGAAATAGTTTGACACTGTTTCACAACTATTTGTTTGCCGTTCTCATAGTGGGATTAGTTTTCGCGTCGTTCTACGAATAAACAATTTTAGTTACTACCACGGGTTATGACTTTCTTAGGGAAGAGAACTGAAACTCTTCTCAATTCTCCTCGCCCAAAAATGATTTGGATTGAATGATGATGGATTGGAATCTTGAGTTGAAAGACTTTGACCGGATGGTAATTGAAGCTTCTTCAGAAATATGGAATATACTTCTGGAACTTCCAGAGGAAGACAGCTCCAGTAGAAAGGAAAGTGAGAGTAGTCCGGAAAGTTATTGTCAAAGTATGTATATATCGTTCTGCGTCTGAAACGCTGTTGAAAACTTTGCTTCTGTAGCACCGGTTTCCAATACAGAACGCGTTCCTCTCAACTGTGAAGTATTGAGCACAATAGAAGGGAGTGGAATCTGTAGTTTATACAATTTCTCGTCAAGTCAAATGGAAACTGAACAACTTTTACCGGAGTCTTGGTTTGGTTTGAATGTGTCTCTTAGCAAGGACCGAGTTGGAGTATTCCAATCTTATTGCCGTATTGGTGTCTTTAATGAAAAGTTGCAACTTCAGCAGGAAATTCTATGTTCTTTGAATTCTACTCTGGAGGAACTTTACATGGAAATATTTTGCCGCAACTCGACTATTGCCACGAAACTTCTGCAGGTATTGATATCCCTTCCTCTAAGAAAGACTTATATATTCGAAGGACTTTTCGAGGAATTTTTTATTCTGCTTTGAAAATTTTTTCTACACCAAATTAGAAACTTGGGGAAGTAACGAGTACGTGCGAAATTTTGAAGACTTTATTAAACGTGAAGACTTGGAAAGGCACTTTGGAAAGGAGTTCTTGAGAGGTTTGTTTCTCTGCGGTTTTGTAAATTTACTAACAAATGTGATAGAAATGGTAGTCAAAGATGCTCAAGGCGTACAGTTAGGAAATCTGTCTATCCGGTTTGGTGTTCCATATGCTCTTTTGCATCTGGTATGGCTCTTTATAAAGAATATCAGATATTTTCCTAATATCTTCTAGGGAGATTGTGAACATAAACTAATATTTCAGGATCTATTTGCAGATATTTGTGAAGAGTCGCAGAAAGTTTGTAAAACAGTATTTCTGAAGCCACCAAAACCTCGTATGTGTGGAGCTTGTCGCGTCAAGAGCTCAGTTGTTGTTTGCCACAATCATCAACTTGCGGACGCCAGCCCCTATTTCTTATGTTGTGGTAGGTACTGCTTGACAATGTTTGTCTCTTCATTGACTTTGAAGAAAGACTGCTATGAAAGAGTAAAGTGTGATGCGGAAACTTCAAGTACTTATCAGCTGCATTCAGAGCATCCTTCTTTTTTCGAGTAAGTTTGAGGGCTTGATATGTTGCGTTTAGTTGCATTTATATCTTGGAAATTTAAGGAACTAACTATTCAAGTGATATGAGAAGCTTGACTTCTACTGTTTATTTTTCGTTGAATCGATAAAGTGGCTATTACAAAGCGCAGCATACTTACTATTTAGGCAGATATTCGTTATGTACCATGGTGTGTAAATTTTCCGTATCTTTTTGGAGTTTAGATATGAATTTGCTATTCAAATAGCTATAGCTGCAACAACTTTTCAAGATCAGTCCTCAATTGCTTCAGTCTCCCTAGATAAGTTATTCAACGGCTTAATCTTGCTGCAAAGGAGCGACTGTGCTTGAATATGACTAGAAGGTGATAGCCCAATGTTGGGTTATTTACGAGCTTCATAACTTTTAGGAATATATTTAAAAGTATTGGATATGTCTTGGCTTTAAAGTTTTGATTGCCTGCTTTCTTATTTACAAGAGTAGATGGAATAGAATACGTAACATTGTGCACTGTTTCGAACCAAAAATAACATTTTTATTTATCAGAGATATTCAGTCTCCTCTTCATTCAAATATTTATATAATATATATATATTATGTATATTGTAGAATGACTTGATGAAGTTTCCCAAGGAGAAGCCGCTCTATTTGTGATTGAGAAAGCCAAGTGGGTTGACAATGGTGAAGGATTGTTCCTATTCGATACTTCTTCCGACGTACAATGAAAGGGAAAATCTTCCATATATTCTCTATTTTATTGAAGAAGTCTTTGAATCAATGGTATAGTTGTATTCACGTACGGATTGAGTAAAGTTTTAAGTTGAATAGGGAGAACGTTATGAAGTTATCGTCGTTGATGACAACAGCCCCGATGGAACTTTGGAAGTAAGCATGAGAGCGAGTATTTTGTTATTTGTCATTGATAAGCATTAATAAGGTTGCAAAGAAACTTCAGCAAGTCTTCGGTAGCGATAAAGTTGTTTTGGCGCCACGCGCAGGAAAACTTGGATTGGGATCTGCTTATTCTCACGGTCTGCAATTCGCGAAGGGAAACTTCATTATTATTATGGATGCCGACCTATCTCATCATCCTAAATATATCGCGGATTTCGTACGCAAGCAACGAGAGGGTAGCTTTGACGTTGTGACAGGAACAAGATATCGCGGTGAAGGCGGAGTCTTCGGTTGGAACTGGCGACGGAAGCTAACAAGTGTGGGAGCAAATCTTCTCGCGCAAGTAAGATTGAAGTCTAGGTTATATACATTTGCTTACTTTAACTTAAAATGATTCAGTTGCTGTTGAATCCTGGTGTGTCAGATTTAACTGGAAGCTTTCGATTATACCGAAGACAAGCTTTCGAACAACTTATACATCGAACCAGATCGAAGGGCTATGTCTTTCAGATGGAAATCATTGTACTCGCAAAGAAGTTGGGGTTGAGAGTTGGCGAGGTTCCTATAGTGTTTATTGATCGACTATATGGGGAGTCAAAACTGGGTGGAAGAGAAGTCATACAATATTTAAGTGGTCTTCTTTGTCTCATGTTTCAAAAATGAGTTTCAAGTTTAGTTTTCTTTTCGCAAAGATCTGAACTGCTGTTTCCACGAAAGTACGAGATTGAAGTAAGTTGTCAGACTTGTCTTAGATTAACTCAAGGTCAAGCAAACACATAGTTCCGGAACACTTTCTGAATCACCGTAAGAATATATTTGGGAAACAGAAAATTTTTGAATTCATTCTGTTCTCAACGTTTCCGATATCTACTGCTAGTTCCTTGTACAGAGTTGTATATATCTGCAACTTATGTACCGAGAACACTGACTATTTAGTGAGAATAGTTTGCAGTGATCAACAAAGCTCTGTATTATAAAGAGTCGCGGTATCTTTCGTCAGAATTTGTCTTCGTTTTGACATTATTTTAGCTTATCTTAGCAAAGATCTATTGTCATCATAAGTATTGTGACAGTTTTCTTTGCTCACGGTTTAGATTGCTTCAATGCCATTTCTTTTCTTTCGTTTCAATACTCTCGTTAAAGTTTCTGCAACCGTTTTCCATTACTAAGGTTCTCGTAAATTGTATGGTTCAAATAGTACAAACATTGGCTGAGTGAAGCATCTCGAAGAAGAACCTTAGGAAAGATTCTTTACTTGGATGGTTATAATCATTTCATCTTCGAGAAAATAGAACATGTAATACTTCGTTTGGTCGCTCATTACAACCTTGCACTAGAATGAAAAGGAGGCTTGTTTGTTTCTCTAAATTGAACGGACGAAACAGAATCAAGTAGGAGAGTATCCTTGTCTTATGAGCCATTCTATAATTCATCAAGTGCCTTGATGACCATTTATTTGTACAATGCCTTTAGACGAAAGCCATGAGTTGCTAACGTTTTTTTAATTTGATGAGAGATTCGAGTCCAAAATAAAAATCTCAAAACCTTTATCCGAAATGCAATGTTATAATGCATTTAACTCTCAAAACAATGGTTACTCAAGATGTCAGCTTTGTGGCTGCTTTTAGAAAAGATCCTTCAAGAAACATCAGCAGATTTTTTCTATATACTTGAAGGATTCAAGATATAACAATTCAACTAGTCAATCGTTGTGTTAAATAGCTACTAAATTGTCGACTGTATGTGAGTTTTGTTCGAAAATTTCTTCGGCACACAAACGATGTACATTAACGACTTAGTGGACGCTTGATAAGGATAAATTTTCATAAGGAAACCTAGGAGAGCTTGATATGAGTCTCCATTCTCTTCAATTCTCTCACAAGACAGGGTTAAACTTATTTGCAGTTAGATTTCAATGAGGATATAGCTTCGTGGATAACGTTCATTAATTCATCAGTATTTGCATTAAAATCGATCAACTCCGAATGCGTTTCAGTTTGTTTCTGATAATGTAATGGTGTACAAGAAATAATCTTCATCTGAACCCCTACCTTTGGAGCATGCCAAAAAGCCCATTGGAAGCTTCCAGCAGTCCGCTTGCATCTATTTTCAATCTCTATGAAGAAGCGGCCTCTTTGCATGAACATGGAATTGACATTCGCTGCTCCATGTGGAGCAATGAAAATATCTGTCTCGTAAAAGAGACGCACTTGTTCTATAAAAGATGCAGGCATTTTCTCAACGTACTGAATTTCAATGCAGCTGATCTTTTCAAGTCTTTCCAAAGTTTCATTGCAGTTTCTCCAAATACGTCTATTGGTATCCATTCTTGCATAGACAGTTACTCGTAATTTGTCGGCTTTTTCTTCTTTCACCGTTATGTTGTTGGAAAGTAAAGCAAGAGAAGCCCTTTGAAAAAAAAATACTGCCTTGGCTTTCATAGACTCAGGAGCTTGTAGAAGAATTTCACTTGTCTTCTTAGATGTCAGGTTCACAGGATAAATAGAAAACGGAGCAGTCCAATATGTTTCCCAGGCACCACCGTCTATAACTACTGCATAAGGAAAGCAGTGTAAACGTGAATCTGCAAATAAGATATTATTTTTTCCGACAGAATATATAGCTGCTAGCAGTATTGCCCAAGTTTGCCAATTGTTATCCTTTGAGCCGAGTTCCTTCTTCAAATCCTTTGAATATAAATGCGGAAGGCCAATAAAAATATTTTCTCCCAAATATTCTAAACAATTAGCAAGAAAAAAATGGAATCCATAAATATCACCATGGTATGCGTGATTTACGTTCCCATCGGGTGTGATATTGTAAATAACTATTGGCCTCTCAATAACAATGCCCTCCAAACCTTGGTGTTTTCCAACGCAAACTGGAGAAGGAAAGATGCCTGGATTTCCACTTCTTGAATGAGGCCCAAAGAAACAGAAGTGTTTGGCTAGTGACTCATTCAAATAGCCTTGTAAGTAGAACAACTCTTTCAACTTTTCCCTGGACTTGGTTTGAATGAATCCTACACGGGAACAAGAATAAAGAATACTAACAAAAAATATCAGAACTGAGGAAACAAAAAGAATAGAATGACGATAAGCAGTTCTCCGTTTATGTCGATTTCTCATTGCTCGAATTTTCCCGCCAAAGCGATTGTATGAAATTGGGAATCGGTCACATCCTTATCATACAAAGCTTCGAACAGCTTTATTCTACACATCCTATAAATGACCTAAAAAGCAATAGATCCCAAGTAGATCAGCATGTCTATACATATCTCATAAATTTTCATAAATGTAAAGGAGAAAGTTGTTCTTACAGGGATCTTGTCATCCAGCTTTTGCTGTTGAAATGGACCCGTGGAATTGCAACAAACCATGCTTCCTCTTACAAAATAGTTCTCCGTATCACAAAATGGAAGCATTAGATGTAGTTAGTTGAGAAATTAAGTCGGATTTAGAATGAAGAGTTAGATTGAAAACACGTCTTGTAGTAATTGGAGTCCCATATCAATTTGCAATGAGCATAAACAGACATTATTGCACTCGTAGCCAATCTTTTCATTTGAACTTCCATTGGCATGGATACATAAATTTGTTTGATGACACATTCATGCAAAGTGTTCAAACATTAAGCAACAGTCTGGAACCTTCTTTTTGGAATGCCTGCTTCTTTATTTTATCTAGCAACTTAACTGCTGTCTAAAAGATTATTTATGCCTTGGGCTCTGTGTTTTGTTTTCTAGTCGATTACCTCTCATATGTAGAGGTCGACAAAGTTAGGTGGAACCGTTATCCAGCTTGATGAATGAACAACTCAATCGCTATACTTTTATATTATTACTTGAAAGTACTGAACAAAAGAACCTCCTTCAAACGTATTTGGGAAACAACCAATCCTTATGGCGCTACTATTTGTGCAGACTGAAGTTGATATTCTAAAGAATTTCTGCGGAAATTTCCAAAGTGCGTGTTGACGATGTCGGTTGCCGACGATGCCGCCCTTCATCGTTCTCTTTTAAGCTCTATGCACGACTATCTACAAAGAAAAGGGTTTGAGAAAACTGCCAAATCTTTTGAAAAGGAACTGAAAGCAGCTGGATGGTCTTTGGAAACTTCGAACTGCCTTCTGGAAAACCTATGGACATTAAACCAAGGTGTTGAAAAGGAAAAATCAGTGTCTGAGAGTAGGAAAGGTACGAGCAAGTCGGCTCAGCGAGAATTTGAAGTAGACTTTTATAGGTCTAGTGGAGGATGATAGAAGAGCTTCGAATATCGAGAAATCTTCAAGTCGTGGCAAGGAGCAAACAGTCAAAACGTCTTCACGTAGCTCTGGCAATAGTCCTGGTGAGAAATACGTTGACACTAAAGAAACGGGTTCGTTAACTCCTTCCAAATCAAAGTTGGCTGTCGAAGAAGAGACCAGTAGCACGTCCAGTGGAACTTCGGCCTCAACTTCTTCGACAGAAACAGATTCATCTCGGAGTTCTAGTCCAAAAAATTCATCTCCCTCGAACCGTTCAGAAAGCTCAAGTTCGGAAAGCTCGCAATCCGGATCTTCGTTTCGGTCCAGTTCTTCAAACCCAACGCAAGAGTCATCTTCCAGTTCTTCCTCAGGCAGCTCCAGCTCTTCTGAAGAGAGCGACTCCAGTCATTATTCGTCATCTTCGTCTTCCTCCTCAAAGGAAGATAAAGAATCAGCCACGTCAAAAGACTCAAATGAATCTTCAGAAAGCGAAAGCTCCGTATCGACAGGTTCTGAAGATTCCAAAAGTAGTGTTTCGTCTAGTTCAGAGAGTTCATCGACTTCAAGCAATTCAGATTCTTCAGACACGCAAAGCTCGTCCTATCACATCAGCAACTCATCTGATTCTTCTTCTACAGACGTCACGTCGTCTTCCAGCTCAAATAGTGCACAAGACGTCAAAGACAGAAAACTTGCTTCCAAAGCAAAAGGTGAGCAACCTTCTCTTGAAAACTTCAACCTAAGTTTTAAACTGGTTTACCAGAAAAAGAGGGAATAAGCTCCTCCAAACGTTTACGTGATGACACTCAGGAACTCAGGGAAAGGTTGGATTTTCCACATGACTCATCTGGAAATAACGTCGATCATGCAACTAAAGTTCCTTCAGAGAAAAAGTTTCGTACAAACGCGGTAAGACGAGAAATATCTATTGACATGTTGCAGATTTTGAATTGAACTCAAGAATGGTAGAGAAGACGCCTTGACTTCCATAACATGTCAGGACAGTAGTAGACAAGGTAAGTGGTTGTCCATTTATTTCCAACTTCATTCATGTGGACGTTTTTCAGCACCTGAGAGAGTTAAAGTGACTTTACAAGCAGCCAACAGCGAGAAACCCAACAGCGAGAAACCTGATCTGAACGAAGGTCCATCAGAAATCGATGATGAAAACAGTTCTACACTGCGTCGTTTTCAACGAGTACAGCCAGATTCTGTTAAGTTTATTGATGATAAATTGAGAGACAATTCATACGATGCGAAAGGTGGTGAAATGTACGGCCTTAGAGCATGGGAGGAGCTTAAAAAAGTAAGAGGCAAAGATTTTCGCAAGGCTAAAACGAAGAAGAAAAAAGCGACTTATTTTGGTGGAGGCATTATAAGCAAAGATAGTCACTCTTTTCGATTTACCTATAGTGATGATTCGAGTTGAACAGAATACAGGAATTTTCTCCAAGTGGAGTTTTTTGGTTTCAAATAGGTGTAGTTGGATAAGAAGATAATAATATATACGTATTATAAGGACATTGAAGGCTGATAAAATTTAACTTCAAATAATTTCATTTGTATATCGTATTATGGATAGCTGCAAGGTACATAATCTATTAGTCATATGACTTCAATACCTGCAGCTTTGTAGCCTTCAAAAACTCATCAAAACTCGAATCGTAACAACAGTGTCGCCGAAACCTTCATTACCAAAATCAAATACATTTCGTTTGTCTACGTGACTTCAAACCTAATTGACAGGCAACTTTCCGATGACCGCCTCGTGCTCGTATTTGATACAATATGTCAAAACGACCCAATGATACTAATTCGTTTGCTGATGGAAGAACGATTGTATCCTTTTGAAATTCCTTGAGAGCATTCAATAGCTTTTCACTAGACCACAACCTTTGTGGCTTTCTCGCGGAATGGTCTCCTGGTGGTCGACCAGCCTTCACCAAAACTTGGAGCCCAATCCTTTGTGCTACAACAGAAACTCCCCCATAGAGTGAAACTGCACGGCGCAAGTCACTTCTACCCATCTGATTGAGTTCCTTCATTGTAGGGAATCGGTAACCTAGAGAAGCACCAATTTGAAGCAACTCGCAAGCAACCTCGTCGAAGTCTTTCTCTCCAACGTTGAAATTGATGAGAGATGCTACCCTTGCGAGCCCTCCTAGTTCTTGTATTTCTTTCAACACAGTTGACAGTCTCATCCTTTCTAAAGCTTTCAGTGAAGGTATCCTGTTGAACACACCATATTTTCGAAAGGAAATAATTGACAAAGCTTCACGGAGGCACTTTAGTCTCTCGAATAAGTCATGTTTCTCTTTATCAAAACAATACTCTTGACTCTCTCGTCGAAAAGTAGGCTCCGTCCACTTTAGTCTTTTCGCTCTTACACCCATTACGTCAGCTAGTACTTTGCGTCCTCCAAAGTCCGCTATGGCTTTTATGAGACTTGATTTCTTTCTTTGGCGTAATTCCGCCGTAGAGGGAATGGAGTCGTATCTTTCTATCAACCTTCCAAGCTCATTAGCAAGATTTCTAAAAGGCAGACAAAATATTGACAATCATAAAACGTCTCGAGATCCAAACTTACTCAATGCTGGACCAGTAACCTTTTGGCTTTCTGTCCCATACCACTCTAAGAGCGTTTTCAAAAGCCTGTTCCAAACTGGACAAGTCCTCTGCTCTTTCACTCTGAGAGCATTTCATACTCCTGCTTGTGCTTAGTTTTGATTTCAGTGTGCAAATGCGAAAGTAAAAGGGCCTTTGCTTCACGTAAATACGCTTGTAGAGGTATGTCTTTTGGGGTTCAAGCGGTGGCCTTGTGATCCGTGCGAGATTCTCGCATAGAAAAACATTATTCTGAAACGATATCCCTCGTTTGGAAGCCACTTCTTCTTCGTTACCCTTTTCAACAAATGCAAAAGATGCACTTGTCTTCTGTGGATCACCAGCGACTACCATATCACTGGAGCCACACGATAAGCTTGGTTTCCCTATCATTCACCAAACGGAAGCATCGCCCGACACAAAATTTGAAGCAAAGTTGTGGCGCGCTTCGAATTATGCGATTGCAAGAGTATGAAGCTCTTTGCTCACAGTTACACAGTAGAAAAGACGTATATTTATTGTCAGGTATCAGTTCAAGTTTGCGTGAGAATGAAAGTACGAGCTATAATTATGAGACACTTTACGCTATATATTCCCAACGTTATCAAACAGAAGTTGCAGCCGTTGCACGGGAGGCGTTGAAAGAACTCTGTTTGCTTTCCACTCTATATGATTCTGGTCAGCATCTGTTAGATATATCAGTATGTCTCTTGTTTTGAATAGTAGGCTTCAAAAACTGATTTGTTGTAGGAACGGCTTAACGTTGCACCTTGTATCACTGTTCGACGTTTGTTAGAGTATAAGGTATTCTTTCTTTTCAACCTTTGATGATTTCGTATGCTTTTGAAGAGCTTTGGAAAGAAACAAATCTCTCGAGTCCTCAGGAACCCCTATGAAATTAAGGATGACCGATTGAGACAGGAAGTTATCGCTTGTATTGAACAGGTAGAGACTGACTATCCATCATAATTTGAATCGTTTGATTTTGTTGCGTAGGATGAACATTATGGTCCCTTTGCAGACCGAATGAGGCAAGTTCAAGGACTAGATTATGAATACATTTTATATGTGGGTACAAAAGAAGCATAGAACACAAGGATATTTACGTATTAAAATTATGAATTATAGCAACATTTGGAAATAATGGGGATTCCTTTTGATACAGAAACTTCCTTACGCTGCAAAGGGCTTTTCAAGACCCCTGATGCTCTGCTACATGTTCCTGTGAAAGTTGGTACGAATGTCATTTCTTGGATAGACAGGTATCTTGTTCCAAAATTAATATATTATGCTCATAATTCCCCAGCAAAGCTAAGTTTGGAGACGAATATTACCTTCGTCGAGATTATAATGACTCAATTTCATCATACGTAGGAAGGTAAGCAGATTTTTGAAACTTACCGAATAAGCCAATTTTTTAAATAAGGTATGGGTCGGGAATGGTAATATACTGGTTTGGGTTTTTAGAAGATATCGATGTGCCAATGTTGCATGATCAGGGTGTGGTTCTTTCAAGTAGCTTTCCCAAGAATATCGAACTTGTCTAGAAACATTCGTTAAGATTCTTTTTGTTGTAAAGTTTCTCTAAAGAAAAGATTTACTCATTCAACCAGTTTCTTTGACAGTATTTAAAGTCTCCCGTATTTTACTAAACTTAAGACAGCTCCTTTTGTCCATATTCGGACTAAACTATAAAATACCAGAATAGTAACGTTCCTCGTCATAATAGTTCGCGATTACTGATTTACCACCAAACCTTCGTCCTGTCAAAGCTGCAAAGGCCTTTTCAGCATCAGAAACCGTTTTGAAGGATACGAAGACTTTCCCAAGACCAGGTGGATTGGCTTCATCAGTCTAAAACAAGTATTCGTGTTAACACGACAACTCATCGTACATCTCGTTGAAACTTACTTTTGAGGGTCTCGGTATCTTTACTTCTGTCACTTCACCATACTTTGAGCTTTCCTCCCGGACATCTTCAATGATGTCTTCGTATTCTTCGTCGTCCACGAGCTCCTCCGGCTCCACCATATTTCGAAGTTCTAGTATTCTTGTAGGGTAGCGAACTGTGGGTGAAAACGACTGTCCAAGTTCAACACTGCCGCTAGAAACCTGAAGAGAAGGTCATAATAAACAATATGTTCATATGCATTAGTTTTACCTGCGAAGCTCTTCGAACAGTGAGAGTTTTATCACCCATTGTCATTCCATTGAGACCTTTGATTGCTGCCTCGACAATACTTGGATCTTTGTATTGGAAAAATGCATAACCCTTGCTAAGGCCTGTGTTAGGATCTTTGACAAGATTAAAGGCATTCAAAGGACCTGGACTTTGTTAAAATCCTCAAGTTGTACAAAACAATAGTGTTTCTTACCATAACTCGATAAAATTTCTTTGATTTGATCTTCTGTCAGATGATAAGGTAGTCCACCAATGAAAACCTTGTCCGGACCGTCTGGCACTTGAGTAGATACAACTCCTAATGCAGAGGGATCAAAACCAATCTGAAATTTTTCAATATATCCAAGAAAACAAGTTAAGAGTTGACACACCGGGGGGTATACAGGTGCATGTATATTTGGATTGTAGTCGTTTGGTCGCCTCATACGCAGACTCATTCCTCGAAACAAAACTCCGTCCATCTGAATTGCAGCCGCAGCTTCAGCAGCGGAGTTGAGTTCAATAAATGCAAACCTTTTGTCCAGGTTCAAATAGACAGATTGAACAGGATCTCCAGGCACGTCCACTCCCTTTGCTAAGTACAAAGCAGAGTTAAAAAAATCCGCCACTTCGGACTCTGTAACGTCGGAGGGCAAGTTGCCAACATATAGTCGTCGAGCATGTTTTGTTGCCTGCTGGGTATTTGGCTGCGTTGTTGGAGCCACCGGAATCATATATTGAGACAAAGCGCTAAAATCAAGACCACCGACCGAGTAAGCAGATCGATTTACATTGGGGTCTAAGAAGAATTTAAATTTCCATCTCTTAGGTGTGACCGTTCCTCATACCTCTCTCACTTTGCTCCCAGGGGAGCTTACGAACGTCCCACTGTGAACTTCGCCTGTGTCGCTTACGTTCTCTATCATCCTTTAACATATTTTCACCGTGAGAATGTTTTTCATGTCTTCTGTTCTCCACTAAGCTTTGAGTCTCTGTATCTACTCCTTCCGTGGCGATATGTTCACATTTCTCCAGGCTGCGAGCAAGTCTCTCAAGGCCACCTTCTCCTTGAGCTCCATCTCTAGGAAAAACGTAAAGGCAACTTTGAAACAAATATACACAACTTACGTCTCTACTTGACTGTTTTCAAACGCCATTTTTGCCTTCAAGTCGTCGTTGTTATCTCTATAGTTCCTTTTTGGAATGCGAAAAGACTCCGTTGGATTATTACTGCCCATACCGATAATTGCTGATACTGGCGATGATGTTTTGAGGCTACAAGCTTTACCAGAATAGAAAAAAGTTGCAATTGTGAAAGTACGGTATGAGAAGCTTCTTACATTATCATCGATGCTTGTGGATGAGTGGAGTAACTCAAATGTTCCCAGAGGTATCATCGAGTCTCTTCCAACTTTTGACACTTTCCAGATAATGGTACAGTTGTCATCTGAGAGACAACAGCTTACAGGACTTCAGACTTTATGCCTATTTACTAGCTTTCTTGGGGAAAACTTTCCATTTTCATAAATCTTTTTTAATCCTAAGCAATTTGATAACAAACTTGAAGTGATATGTATATATATTCTCCAAGATCACCCTCTTGCTTGCTTCCCCACATAGTATTTTTCAATACTTTCATTTGACAATCTCCTGTCTTTCTTATAACTGACTTGGTTTGTGTTTCAATTCAAAAGACTGCTACTACTTGCGCCATTTCTTAATATAGGACGAAAAATTCAGTTGCTGAGCGCAATTCATCTTGCAACTATATTATGAATAACCTAAAGCAATCTACTACAGCAGTAGTACTAAAGTTGTTCAAGAGTCTTTGACAAAGTCCTAAAAATAGTTCAATATAACGTTAGATTAAGAAGATCCATTTCCATTACAAAATATTGAATTTTGACAATTTCTCTGATAGCATTAGAATGATTATAGAAGAGCATATTAAGCTAATATTCCTAAATACTTTTTAGAAAGAGGTGAAACCATCTCTCGTAGTGTTTGAAATTCCATTACTTTTTGAATGTGGATTATCCTCAAAATTACAGGCATTTCTGACAGATATGAGGAATTAGGAAATCTCTCACACTATGGTGAGACGAATAATAACGACAAGAATGGTTCTAGTCATCAGGTACATTTCTAGCAAACTTAGTACGAATGACCATCAACATACGATGCCATGAAGGTGACTTGATCATGAACTGGTTTCAAAAACTTGCGAGTTTCTTCCAAGTTTATATGTCCACGTGTGGATACCGAAGTTTGATCAGTTGTGACCTTGTTTGGCTTGAAAATGGTTGCAAGACGTTTTGTATCCTGTAAAAGACGGTTAAGTGACTCCTCCTTATTCTACCCGAACGAAATGACAGTTCATCAAACCAACGTCGCAAGTGTTCCTTGGATTCCTCGAAAGATCTTGTTTGATACCCCCAAACAAACAGCAGTAAAAGTATCTCCAGTTAAACTTGTAGAAAGTTGACTTGAAACATACAACTGAGTTGAAGCGTATGGTGACTTGAGATACTTATCGTGGTATTCGATTTTTTCAATGGTCAGAAGATTCAAGGACTGTTTTGTATTTACAGGATAAGGATGGCGATGAAAACTTTCACTATATGTGTATATTTCTCTTTTATCGTTCTTTATTTATCTTGTAAGTTAATATGGGCAGTTGATATTAAGGAGGAAGGCTCTCCAAGTATAGACCTAACTCCTTTTAAGGTGGAGGGACTGATGTTTTCCCCCAAGAGACCTAATGAGCTTCTCATTGGAATGAATCAACGAAACTCGTCTTGTTTTGATGTTCATCGTATTTTTCTTGATTCACGAGAGAAATGTTTTGATACTGAAAATCCTGGAGATGTTGAATGATGAACGTTGGATGAAAGTACCATGACAGTATTGGGAGCTACTACTACCCATCCAGAAGATGGAAATGCCATTCTTCGTATTCGTGATAGTCTCGAGGTACCTTGGAGAGAGCTGAAATACTTTCCATATAGTGAGGAAGGAGATATTAGTGCAGACAATGAGCATGTATATCTTCGAAGCTTTTTAGAAGCAGAAAAGAAGCAATTAGTTTTAGCTAAGCGTTCCAATGGCGCAATTGTTCACACGCTGGCTTTTTCTCATCAAACCAACGTTGGTCGTGTTCTATTGCATCCTGATGATAAACGACTTCAAGTAAGCCTAAGCCTTGTTGATATTTTATAATAAGAGCCTTCTTTTATGAACCTTTGCATAGGCCGTTTGTTTTACATTTGCCCGAAAGGAATGGAATTTTTTTGATGAATCCATGAAAGAAGACTTTCTTTTTATAGAACAAAAGTTTGGTGACGTTGATTTGGACTTTACAAGTCGTGACCATGCAGACTCTATATGGGTTTTACCGGTAATTCGTGACAATAATTCTGTTCAATATATTATGTTTGATAGAAGATCAAGAACTACAGCACATTTATTCCATGAACGTCTCGAACTTGATGAATATATATTGAGTAAGATGGAGTCCATTATTGTAAGTGCAAGAGATGGACTGCAGTTGCAGTGTTATTGAACAAGACCTGTCTATGGAACTGCACCATTTCCTCTTGTTCTATTTGTACATGGTGGTCCTTGGGCAAGAGACTATTGGGGTTTCAATCCCATGTCACAATGGTTTAGCAATAGAGGATATGCTTGTCTTCAAGTCAACTATTGTGGTTCTGCAGGTTTCGTAAGTATATTTTATTTATATTATTAAAGACTGGTTTTATTTGGTTAGGGTAAAAGTTATTTGAACAATGGGCCATTGGCAACATGCAGAATGATTGAACGGAGAAAAGAGTCAATGCTGTACAAGTTTGGTAATGAAATATCGCGGATCAAATTCCAACGAGATTTTAGTTCCATTTGTTCAAGTTTAGTTTTCATATCCAAGCTTCTCTTTGAATATCTTTCGAGCTCTGAATTGTTTCTGTTGTAACAGTGCAACGGTTCCTCGCAGACCTTTAGCCCCACTTAGCCTTTAGTATCTTCTTTTATTGTCCAGCACGCCAAACCTTTGTTACCCATATAAGAACTCTCGTTACTGAAACTCTGGAATTCTTCTGGAATTCCATGGAAATTCTCTATGGAGGAGAGAGTCAAGGAAAAGGACTCCAAGCTTTCTTTGAGTTTTAGTATTTGACCCACTTGGCTGTCTCATAAGTCGGCGAACTTTTATAGAGTCTTATTTCAGTATTCTTTAACTTTCATAGCTGCTTTGCGGAAAGTCTCTTTCTGTAGTTGATGGTTAAGAATCAGCTCTTGGTCTAAGATTTTCAAGGTAATTTGTAGGAATCTAACTGAGTTATGAGTCGGGTCTTATGTTAATTGCTTTCGCTGCACTCTTCATACGTTAGTTTTTTTCTATTGAGAGAATCTCGTCAAAGAGACGAACTATAAAGCTATTTCCAGTTTTGGTAAAACCGATTCACATTTCCGGAATAGCACATCATTGCATATTTACCACAACCCCTTTATTAGTGTTAATGTGGGTTTTCCTAACAAAATTGCTCGTTTTCATATGAAAAGTGAATGCCACCAGTTGCCACGTAGCCACCGTCCATTAGACGACTTTACAACCCCCTTTAAAACCAAGCTCAGTTACAGGTTTTGAATTGTCGTCTTGCAGTCAATACATTGCGATTATTGGGAAAATGGATGCGTATGTTTACTATTCCAAATCAGTATTCTATTCCCAAAGCTAGGCAAGAGTTTGATGAATACAACAGAATGAAACCTAGTCCTTTGAGAGATCGATTGGTCGATGTAGTTGAATAGTTTGTCAAGTTTTCATTGATGTTGAGAGATCATTCTTCTTTTCTAGTAGATAGATATAGTGAAAGGAAAGAAAAGGGAGATTTTGGAAGACTGCTATCTCAAGAAAAAAAAAGAAAATTAGGTAAGAACAATGTTTTGATGAGTCGTACCAATGACAAGTCATAAAGAGTAGTGGTTTATCAATTTCGTGAGTTTGATCTCCAAAAGTGCTATGAGTATAATGAAAGGAAATTGAACGACCACTTTTCAGTTTGTAACTAAAGTTGGGGCATTTTTTGACACTTTGTAGAAATAGAATTTAGCCATTGAACTCTTCAAAGAGTTTTAAACTTTTATGATGTTCGTTTTTTCAAGGATTGCTTGGAGTTGCAAAAAGAAGTAGAAATTGCAAATGCTCTATGAGTAATAATATCCATTCCATGAAAGAGTGAAAAGTTCATTTTTAGCTTGCATGGAAATTGAATAGCTTTTTGACACGGCAAACATGAGCTCTCTTCTCTGAAACTGTTTATTGCACTTTGATTATGTTTTCCATTCATTTTGATTTAGCAATTTTGTTAACTGGTCTTGAACTTGGTCTAGGAATTCATCTCATCCCTTATTGAATGAAGCAATCAATCTATCAATGAAAATCATTCGAATCCTATGAAAGTAAGTTTCCAATCCAATACTATGTATATAGCTAGACCCATGAAGCAAAAGCTTGAAAAGCAAAAGAAATAAAAATGGTTTTTACAAGTTCTTTACAAATCTATACAGTCACGATGAGCCCGATTCCAATGCTAATATTTCNCGCTTTGGAAACCAGCGATACAAAAGCCCAAACTTNAAAGGAATAAAAAGGAACAAAACAAATGGAAAAATAAGTCCAGTATTGAACATGGTTGAACCACGATAGAAATTCACGGCAACGAAAAACAACAAGATTACTAAAAAGAGCTGAATCAAAGTATAAACATGAATATGAACGCGTTGCACACGGCGAATGATATGGCTTGGAGGGTATCTTTCCGGTTGTGTAAACAGAAGAATAAGGCGTTCTACTAAGCCATTNCTTTGAAAGGAAGCTACACCCATAAATAAAATAAATCCATATAGCACATCTATAGGAAGCTGATCGAGAGCAGGCTTTGCCAGAATGATCAGAAATGAAAACAAGTAGGCTACTAAGCCTACTATTCGAACCTCTCTGGCATGAATGACGCGATAAGTTGTTCTTCCCAATGATTCTCGTTCTTCNACATCNGCCAAAGCATAAACATGTAATAAAGAATGAGGTAGCCCTGCATACATCCACGGCATACCTAAAACTGACGCAATTATATTCAAAATGCCTACTATCACCATATTCCAACTNTAAGCTGTTCCTTTNCGAAGCCTNTTCTCTGGTCTTTCTACAATATACGTGCAAACGTTTTGATCNATAAAAACAACCAAGAACAAGAGAAATCCAGTTACACCTGCTAGAAATACATAACCAACTTCTAGATCNCCCACAGGAACTATCCAAGGTCTTCCTGTAGTAGTACTNTAACCAATAGGACCTCTTATATCCAGTCGTTCNACGACCACTGGATCGAAAGCATAGCTTATACCTGTGACTATAAGGACAGCAAGTGAGGGCCCAATATCTCCAAATACATTGCGAATGGAAGGTACCAATAGATAACTGCCTCGAAGAAAAAGAAAGAATAACGCCAAAATCAAAGTCAAAAAAGAGAGAAACAAAAATAATAATACTTGCGTATAACCATGATGTGTAATTCGAATCAATTCNGTAAACCAATACTGAATGAAAATGAAACCAATGAAGGTCTGAAAGATTTCGTCCGTGAACCTTCCCAAATAAGGAATAAGAGCAGCTGTATTNAGACAGCCTGATAAAATAAGAAAGATGCCCATCCATATTCCAGTCCATGCATAGAACGGAAGGAACTCGAATCCTAGCTTGTCTGACCATCGCATAAGTACTTGAATATAAACAACAGTAGGCCCAGTAATCATATTNACCATGAGAGGTTGACCACTNAATAGTGCAAACCCCAGACCGAGTACCCCTTGAGAAAAGAGACACTCTATCACACCGATCTGCCCATGAGTGGTTCTTTCCACAATATAGCCAAAGACAATGGCAGGAAGTGTTGCGGTAAAAATTAGAAATATACTGGCAAACAAGTATTTCTGTTGAGCACGTCTTTGGTTGATTTCGAAAACAAAGTCTGACAGGTAATGTGGCAAACGACGCTTTAGGTCNGCAATAACTAAGACAAAAGGATACAAGAACATAACAGAGGTCCAATATCCTAGAAGATGATAGCGACGATGAACAGAATTTGAACTTGCGTATATCTTTTCNTTCATTATGCCGATGGTTTGATTCAAAGTTGCATCNTTGCTCTCNTGATGCATTTGTTGATTNAGCGGTTTCACGGCATTCTCCTCCCTTTGTTCTTTNCGTGCTGATTGGCGTTCCACAAAACGATGGATAGCTATCCTTAAATCNTCNTCTGTAGGACAATTNAAACTTTCTTCNCGAAATTCTGCGTCTGCTAGTAGACTGGCAACAGATTTTGCAGTTTCTGGAGCAGAATAAACCATGCCAGTACCACTTCCGGTCAAAACCAAACCAACAAATTCGGTAAGAGAACCATTTAAAGAGCCTAAATTGA